GGTTTTCATCCAGGATGTCTCTGTACACTGCTGCCTTCTTCTTTTCCTCTAACCTGACTGGTCTTCCAGTTCCTCCTCCCCTGATCACTCCTGGTGGTTCCAAACTTCTGCCACTCTTGCTCATTGGAACCTTCAAAGCAGCAGAACGTTTTCTGTAACCTTCCAGCCTTGTGCCTTGAGACAATCCTGTCTCAGAAGTCTATATACAAGCCCTTTGTTTTCATGCTTGGTCTGTGCTTTGACATGCACCGTCAACCCTGGGACCTTACATACACAGGTGTGTGTGCCTTTCCAAATCACATCCAATCAACTGAATTCACCACAGGTGGACTCCAGTTAAGCTGCTGAAACATCTCGAGGATGATCAGTGGCAACACAATGCACCTGAGGCAAAGGCTGAGAATACTTATGCACATGTGATTTCTCAGGTTTTAATAAATTTGTGACAATTACATTTTTTTTAAACATTGTCATTAAGGGGTGTTGTGTGTAGAATTTGAAGAAAAAAACATTTTTATTTCCATTTTGGAATATGGCTGTAACATAACAAAATGTGGGAAAAGTGAAGTGCTGTGAATATCTTCCAGCTGCACTGTACATAAAGTTAGTCAGCCGGTGAGGCTTTCAGCTTTTAGTTTAAAAATATTTGGCCAAGTTTAATACCTTGTAGTGTTGAGGTAGCCGACTATAGACAGCTATGTCACACTATCCAGTATTTTTCAAAGTGTGTTATCAGAAAATTGCACAGATAATTTGACTTCCTTTGTTTAATAAAAAAATATATTTTTAGAATAGGGTTAGGGTGATTTTATTTTATTCATATCATAAACTAGCCTTTTTAACTTGTTTTAAACAGTTTATATTACTAATAGTATCTGTTCTGCAGCTCACAGTCAGTTGTCCTGCTGTGTCTACTGTCCTCTGATGAACACCTGCTCTGACACGTTGCCTCTCGTCTCTCCAGGTAACTTTGACCTACATCAGGTGAAAGAATCCACCTATTTCTTCAGCTGAAGTCTTCTAAGGGCCAACTAATGGGGGATGGAGATGAAACTGGAATTGGCAGATTCCAGCGGGGGGGCTGCAGACTCCCGGGGTCTCTATTGTTTTGTCTCCCTGAGACATCACCACGTTGATCCCGCTGCACTGGGTCTGTGACTGGTTCACATGCTGCTCGGAGCTGCTGGAGGCATTGACCCACAGTGAACCTGCCTGATTAACTGACTGCTGTTCTGTCGGAAGGGAGGGGAGCGAGCGCAGGCACTCACCCAGGCGGAAGATGAGGGAATCAGCTCTGGATGAGAATGTTAAGGACTTCAATCAATGCAAAGTACTTCTTATAGTGATGCTCACAGCATATTCAGGTGTGTGAGAGTGAGAGTGATACAAAAGTAGAAACGAGAGAGAGAGAATGAACCATATAATCGTAAATCACACCAGAGCTGTGTTAATTGCTTGTGATTCATGTGTGTGTGTGAATATGTGTGTGTGTGTGTGGTCCTGCTGTGCAGAACACACAGCACCCGCCTTCCTCTGCTACTATCACACCTCTTTATGGATCCAACACTCACTGGATGTCAGAATCCTCCCTGACGTTATGTTCGGTCACGTTAAACTTTTTGGGATTTTTTTTTTTTTAAACGAGACTTTTCAGACAAAATACTGCTGCACTGAAATGTGAAACACTGGTCTGAGAGAAGAATGGAATCCTGAGTCAGAGAACAGAAAGAATCGTGTCCCGGCCTTGATTCAGTTCGTTGTTAAGGACATAAAACGTCAGACAGGTGTCCTAAAATAAATGTGTTTTCTAAGCTGATATCCTAGCCATAAATGGCACAATAAGTGGTTTGTATTCACGTTGAATACAATGAATGTAATGGCACAGTTTTTTTTAGGTACCGTATATCAGGAGTTTTATTTTTAAGGTGGAGTTTTCTTTATAACCCAGTACAAAACGGTTTTTAGGCTTCACTTATCAGCTGTAATCTTTTTTTCTGGGCCAGTGCAGCATTTTGGGGTAAAAATAGCAGAAGTGCTATCTGATCATAGCTGGAAATGTTACAGCAGTTTCAAACAAAAGGTGTTGTTGATGTTCAAAGGCACTGGTGTGTGCAGCCAAACAAAGCCGGCTGAGTGATAATCACGGAAGGTTACGCAGAGTCCGCCAGTATGCTTTGCTTTTTTCATAGGATTTGCATGCCACTGTGTATAGGCAGATGTCCCTTTTATTTAATAACATTTTTTTTGTAATTTTTAAATAATAAAAAATATGACATAATATTTAAAAGATCACTTGAAATCACAGCAAATGTTTTTTTGCATACCCGTCCTTGGATACACATTATGCTGCTCCACTGACTGAGAACACTCTGTCATCTGTATAAAAAACATTGTTGCCAGAAAAAAAAGCATGCAACCAGGTCCTCAAAGAACCAACCCACCAACCACCGCCCCCTGCTGGCCTCCACTATAAAGTATTGAACAGCGATTATCAACTGGCGGCCTGCGGGCTAAATACGGTTCACCATACTCAATCCGGCCGTGTCTGGATTCCCAAATTTTGAGGAGGGTCCCCCACTAATAAAGCAACTGAATTATTAGAAAGAAGATTTGAGCTTTCAGTTCTAAATGGTGTCTTGATCCTTGTGATCTGTACAAGAATTCTTAAGCATATATTTAACATAAGCATATATTTAACATATATTTTTATATTTGTGAAGATCCATCTACACATTCAGTACATGTAATAAATTACCTGCCAAAAACCAGACCAAAACCCGAGGGGTCCACACCAGGAGCTCAAAGAAAAAAAGTCCTTTCTATTTTTGAAACAGGTCTAAAACTGATTGACAGGGATTATAATTTGCATGAAAAATACTTTGTATAAAAGTACCTTGAAAGTACTAACTTCAGTATAGGGACAAAAATGTTGTTCTGCGCAGACACAGTAAAACCTGGAACTCGGCCAAGTTCTCCTCCCAGCAGGCTCCAGCCCAGCGTGTCTCCTTTCCACCTTTATAACTTTGAGGACACGTGTCAAACTTTTTCCTGCTAATTACTCAGGGTCATGTATATGGACGACGCCGCTCAGATTTCACCAGTCCAGTTTGTCTTGAGGTTTAAGAGAAGGTTTAAGAGCCAGTGGAAGATCACCGGTTGTTATGGTCTGGTTCGGTCAGGACGGTGTGTACACGGTACAACTGCCCGTGGCTTTGGCTCAGAGGGCAAACAGGATATTGAAGATGTCCTTACAGTAATTTGCAGATACTGAGCGCCTTGATGGGTCCGTCTCACTTTGTCTGAGGTGATTTCAAGGATGTGGTCGGTACAACCTGCAGTGATGAAGTACAGTCTGTCCTGCAGCAGGAAACGCTTGGATCACTTTGATTACAAGGCCTCTCTCCAGACCTGCTGATGCATGATTTTGTCAAAGGTGTGTATCAGTACTATCCACATAGTATGCACTGAATTTTAGTTTGTCACTAATATTTGATTCTCTACTGCAGTGATCATCAACTGGTGGCCCGCTGACCGAATCTGGGGCGCTGAACTGTCAAATCGGGTCATGACGTGATTGGACTGGAAGGTGATTTTTATTTTGTTTTATTTGATCATCCGGTCACGGCTAGGTGTCTGTCCAGAAAAATACTGTCCCTCTGAGAACTACCATATTCATCATCTTTGCAAAACCCTTGACCTTCTGACCTCCTGCTTCCCTCTCTCAAACTTTTTCTCTCCACCAAATCATATAATATAAACTGCATTAATATGAATGTGGACATTCTGTACACGACCATGATGGACACGTTTCCTCATTCGATAACATGTAGCTGTACGTGTCACCGACACATGCTAAAGTGTCTTACATGACCACAGTGTAGGGGCTTTTAGTAAGCCCGTTATCCCCACCGACGAGATGGTCGGACAGGGAACACTGTGGAAGTGTTGTCGTTAGATGCCAGGCGTGCCAGAGGTGGAAACCACTCTTCGATAACTTGACCACTCAGGCTCACTCACTTTGATGTCTCTTCCAGCCCATGGACTCCGCGGTCTATCTGCTAGCATGGCGTCATGAATGGCTGGCATTCATCAGCAGAAGTGAAGGAGCAGAATATTCAGATGAGGAGGAGAGGAGAGAAGAGGAGGCAGGAGAGGAGGGGAGAGGAGCCATGGTTTTATGTCTGTAGCTGTGAGGCCCAGTTTTGCATTGAGGACCTGCTGTTACACAGTTATTTAGCAATGAATCATTTGTAAAAAATGAGTAAGTACACATGCAGTATAATTTAAAGGATCTTTTGACATGTACTATATTGCTGTTTAGTAGATTTTGTTTTTTTGACATTTTTGGAAATATATATCTAATAAATGTATACTGAACTGGAGATGAAAATAAATCAAGAGCGTTGCTATGAACCATCAGTAACCACGGTAACCACAGCAAAAAATGTCAACCTCACGTGATGTAATAATATTACTCTTTAAAGGTTTTGTTACAAAGGAAACCTATACAGTAACTAACCATGATTTTCAGATCTAAAAATAATAGAAAAAAAAAAGAAAAGAAGTCAGACATTTAATCAGGAGTAGCAGTAATCAAATACAGTTTATTTATTCTTCATATTATCCTTACATGTATTGCAGTGGTATATAAACAACAAGATATAGTTGCATCGTGAGGATCTTGCATCTATGTTTACAGCCACGACAGCTACAATATATGCTAGGCACTAGGGATGCACAATACGTTAAAATGGGAGATGACAGTTGGAAACAAACACTTGTCATCTGATTTGTCATGAATGTAGTTGTTGATTGTGTCAGTAGTGTCTTTGCAGCTAAACCATGTATTTATTAAGTGCTATTTTACCCACTGGGATCTGAGAAGGAAGGAGGCGAGCAAATAATGGTCGTCTTTTAGAGCTCTGATGTTTAACTAGTGAAAGCCTAGGACGCAGTCAACCGTTGATTATTTATATAAAATGACCCTGGACATTTGTGTCTTCCAATAAAGTCCTGGAAAAATCTAAAGGGTTAAATCTAGGCTCATTTCCAGGTATTATTTAATACAGCAATCATGTAAAGTACTGTTTAAAAATGTAGTAGCCACTGAGGTGAATGTAGTGAATGCAAATAAAAAGAGTGAACAGAAGTGAAAGAGGGAAAATAAGTAAGCAAAAGATAAGGCCAGAGAGGATGTACAGCAGGTTATGATAAAGGAGAGAGATGGATTTGTATTTTTAATGAGTCGATGTATGTAATGTACTTTGAGAAGCAAACTAATCAGAAAATATAAAGAGGGTTGAAGTGTTTGACGTCAGATGAAGGAGTTCAGACATTTTCTGTTGAAAGCCGGCATAAAAGAATAAGAAGTGGAAATTTGTAAAACGATTTACTCCACACAATGCAAGCCTGTGAGGGTTTTGCTGAAAAGGAATGAATTGGTGTTTATTTTAATAGTCAAGGTTGATGTACGGCACTGCAATCACTACAGAGAAATGCCATTAACCGTCAGTGCCATGGTGATGTGTGAATAAGGCAAGGTGTGTTCAACTGTTCTGGGCAGTTTGGCTTTTAGAGCGACCACAATGTGGTACAGAAACAGTCGAAAGGGAGAGCTCTGTTCTGCGAAATAAAGTTAGATCCTTAAAAGAAATCAGAGATGTCAGACATGTGCGTGACATTGTTGCCGAACATGAAGATGTACGATGAGGCAGTAGCGAAGTGTGCAGTTGTTGAGTTAAAAATAGTTTCCAGATAGTGGTGGGAACACTCCTGGGATCAGCTGAGAGGGCCTTCTTATTGGCAATTGTTCCGGACAGGTTGACAGGTGAGGTCAGACAGGCTAGCTCAGCATGGCATGATTTTTGTTGATGACATTCATATTTGTACTAAGAGCGTGAGTATGAGGAGATGGAGCACTGCGATAGAAAGACTGAAAGAGAAAAGAGGATTTAGAAAGTGAAGGAGGTTTGACAGGATCGGTGCCAATCATCGAGCAAAGAGAGAGAGAGATCAGAAGAAGGGGAGAACAGGGCTGATGTTTAATCTTATCCTGTAGGGGACATTAAAGTCAAATGATTAACACTGGACATACCTATAGGGGCAGAAGAGTTCTGTTAGGCAACCGGATGTGAAATTCTCTTAAAGAAGACGTTTCACCTTTCATCCAAGAGGCTTCTTCAGATGACCCCCACAGCCCACCCAACAGGAGGGACCTGAAGTAGCTTTATTTTTTGTCACACCCACAGTATATATATCTGCTGTACTCCCCTCCACCAGTTAGAACTGAAGAAGCCTCTTTCACGTCCAGTTGCCTACTGGAACTCTTCAACCATGGTCAGATCTTCTAATTTTAGGATAAACTCAGTTCCTGCGTAAATGGATCATTGATACAGAATGCTTTCATACCAGGGATGAGAAAAATAGCACAAAACTATCATTTTATGAAAGAAAAAAATGTAGTTTTTTACATATTTTTATAGTATTTCTGTACATACGGTTGTTGTATTGTAATTATTGGTGGTCAGTTTAGCACACAGGCGACAGCTGTATGTGATGAGTATGAATGTAGTAACACAGAGGAACCACATCTGCACTGCAGTTCAAATGAGCAGCCCTTGTAGGTAAACATGATAACAGAAACGGAATCCTAACTTTTTTCTGCCATCTTTTAAAGGCAAGATGACACAGACATAAGAACCAGACTAAAATAAAAAATAAATAAATAAATAAACCAAACAAAGAAACTGTGGGAATGAAAACAAACAAACAGAAAAATAGTGTTTTGAAATCCCACAGTGTGCTTATATTTGTGTGTGTGTGTGTGTGTGATGTGGAGCGCAGTTGCCATGGTGACCATAGCTGCAGACCTTAACATTAACACGGCAATAAAAGTGTTAAAAAAATAAATGTGTTTAAAATTGAGGGAGAACAAAAAAAGAGGACAAAACTAATAAAATGACATTGGTTAAAGATACTGGATATTCAAGTTGAGTCCTCAATGGTGTCAGAAAATATAAATACAATAAATAATAAATATAACAAAAATGTAAATTCAGCCTAAAGACCTGTGGGTGGCGCTGTGCTGGGGAAAAAGTGACAATACGAGTTCTACTTTACCTATAAAGTTTAGGTAACGTCAGTACATACAACATGACATGATGCAGTTTGTTCAATATTAGAAAGTTGTTCATTTCATCCAGCTTATTCTGTTATTTGGTTTGTCTAAACTAGGCTAAAAGCTAAACACGTAGTCTGCTCCGCAAGATGAGAACTACATTTACACATAGAATAACGGCCGTGTCTGCTAGTTCATGCAATTCCAGATCCCTGCTGGACCTCCCCCCCCGGCCCCCCCCATCCCGACCTCCAGATCAACACGACACCACTTGCATATAGTGACCACCCTTCAGTTATTGCTCTGAATGAAAACCTTCACTTTAGACAACACTACTGCCGATCACGGATGGATGAGCTTTTTGCCCACGGTTATCAACCCTCCCTAGACTGTATTAGCCTTTTCCACACTATTATATGCACAGTACAGTTGTAGAATGGCGACGCAGGAGCCAATCAGCGTGAGGAGCAGAAGAGCATGCTCAATTAGCCAATAGTACACATTGTATTAGCCAATAGTATGCTGTGTAAGATCTCATCTAGTCAAGTCAAAACTCGACATGGAAGACGGCTCTGTTGACACTCGCCGATGACACGCCGCATATTTTTAAAAACTTTTTACCCTTCATAATGGCTCCCAAACATTTTTTGTACTCACTGCTATCATTGTTAGCATTTGTGGTTTTGTCAGACCAAATGTAGAGGTCAGTGAATACTTCAACAGCGTACTTTGTTGTGTGTACTTCATAACTGTTTGCTGCACAGGTTCTGGTTTAGTACGTATTTTGCAATATGTAATTGTAAAGAAAGTTCTGACTTACGTCACCGGTAGTTGTAAGTCGGGAACCCTTTGTATTTTTTTTTTTGTTCACTGCAGGACTTAAGGTTGTGTTTACGTATCACTTTTTAAAATCAAATATAAAGGTTTTTTTAAATATAATTCATAGCTGATAACTGTGTTTTTACCATAAATACTGATCTGCTTCTATCCTGTGTGGGGGAAAAAGTATTTGCTGTTCATAAGAGGCTTTGTCTCCAGGACAGTAACCAAAACCCAAAGCTCACAATTTAATCTGTGCTCCTCTATTTATTTAGTGGATTAGCCTTTAAGATTCTGGGAACGCTCTGTGACTTAATTAAAGACTAGAAAAAAACCTCCGTCTCTGTTATAAAGAAGAAGAAGAACACAAAGCCTAAAATGTGAAACCATAAAATGATAACAGAGGGGAATCTCATTACGGAGGAAGTATACTGGGGGCCAACGGGGGGGGGTTGCATATTCCACTCTCATTAAGTGCAGTAAAGGTCGAGGCCTTCTTGAATGTATGAGATAAATACTCTCTAATGTCACTGTCTGGACAATAGGTGTCTCCCTAAATGCTTTCTGTGCAGTATGTGCACTGCTCTATTTTTAGATCAACCAACGTGAGAGAAATACTGCTAAACAGCTAGAAATCAGAGGAAATGGGACTTTTAAAGAAATAAAGGTTGTTTATAATATTAAATTCTCTTCTGATATATTTGATCTGACAAGCATTTCAAAAAGTACTTCAAAACTACTTATCCTGCATTTGTGACTGAAATCAGAGGTGGTCAGAATCCGGTTGCTACGGCAGTAAAACCCCATTAAAGTGCTGACCTCTGACATCTGAGGCAGGTCCCTGATTTTCTTTTGTCCCACGTGTCCCAGGTTTTTTTTTAGGAGTTCTGTGAAAGAGCAGACCGGCCCACGTGTTCGGTACTATTTACGTGACATTACTATATGTCTAACTGTTCTGTGTCTCTGCGGCTCCAGCATCAGTAGAAACATGTTAATGCTGCAGGCCTTGTCATGGTCGTACAGTCACTGCTCACATGTCTCTGCCCTCCCCACGTTACCCACAAGTACATTCATACATTCGGAGACTAGAAACTAGAAGGTAGGGAGAAGGATCTACAGGAGAGTAAACAGAAGTCCTTTCATGTTCCGTCAGTCAAACTTTGATTCATTCACACTTGTTCTCATCAGAAATCATCACAAATTTGAGGATAGCCTGGATCTGACTTTGATGTGGTCAGGTTCAGGAAGACTCACTATGGAGTCTTTTTTGGGGCGTCCCGGATCCCCCAGACCAACTCCTAATCCCCCCAATACCAGCCCTGCTAAAGCACCATAACTCTGTCCAGACGTGGGCGCTGGTGCTACAGAGAATGCCCCCACAGACATTTGGTGGGGCAGTACTACTCCATGTGGTAGAGGGCTCCAATTTCCAGTGTCACCTGATGTGGTCTGAGTGGGTTCGATCGAACTGGAGGAGACTCGTGTAGACTTGGGTGGACTGGGGGCACCTGGCTGGACCCCTTCATGTGGCAGTGAGGGCTGAGAGGCCGACAGTGCCCTGGCGTCTTGGCTCAGACTGCCCATTTGGAAGGAATGGACGCTCCTGGGTGTGCTGGGCCGGCGTGCTGGACTGACTAGGTGCTGCTGAAACAGAGACAGTTGGGAGCCTGAGGTGGGACCTGACAGAGCACTCGGCCCATACTGGAATGACGGCCGTCCCCCGACTGCCAGTGGACTCTGGACAACTGGGCTAGGAAGGACTGGAGCAAGAGAACCAGGAGGAACTGGACCAAGGAGCTGAGACTGCAGGGGGGAGGCAGAGGCGGGGCTTGATACACCTTGGACTACCTGGAATCTCCTCACCATCCTCGGGGACTGCATGTTCCGTTCTCCCACTGAGTTCCCCTGCACTTGGGGATAAAAGTTCATGGCTACAGCTTGCTGCAGAGAGGCGATTGCTGAGTTCTGAGGCTGGGCGGATGAACCTGAAGAATAGATCCCACAATGAGGAGGAGGTGTCATGGATGCAGCTCTTGACCGTGGTGCGTCCACCTGTTGCACCATCTCCCGATCATATTTGACAATCTCCTGGATCATCTCATTCTCCCGGTTGTTAAAAACACCTGAGCTCAGGTCATGTTGAACTTTGTGCATCAGGATAGAGTTCTTCTTGCCTGAAATGACAAAACCAAGAGTCGTTTTAGAGGCCGAGGCGCTGGGCTGATGTGAATGGAGTTTGACGTCGGTGTAGATTAGATGAGAAGTGGCCTACTGTAAGTGTTGTTTGCACTTACTGAGTGCTTTTTCTAATCTTTATTGATTCCTTCTCAGCATACAGGAAACTACCAACTACCCATTTTTACTGCACCCAAATGCAGTCAACCATATCAGCAGTGAAAAAAACATGAAAAGTATTTTATCTCTTTTTCTGATTCCATTAGGGATAGCTCGATACAACTTTGTCATGTCTGATACTGATGCTGCAGATCAACATCAGTATCTGCTGATACTGATGTTGATCTGACACCTACTGACACATCTCCCATAGGAAGTCTAAATTAACATAAGACAAGATAGAAGCAAAATGCATTAGCAGTAAAAGAAATTGTTGCCTTCCCCGACCCTCCCAAACACATCTCACAGAGTTTGTGTCCGTCCACACTTTTCTGGCACGACAAAAGAAGTTTGTGTCACCGAGTGTCGAGAGTTCCACTCACTTGGTTCCTACTGCTTTCAGTGAAGAAAGATGAGCCCATTAGACACAGCTGTGTCCAAAACCCGCTGAGACCAGAATTTACGACTCCCCTACTTTTGACATAATGAACTTGAAAGGTGATGGAGGAGATAAACACAGACATTTCTCTTCTAGATTAACGGAGACGGTCTATTTTGGGAATAAAATGATGTTTTAACAAGTGAACGTCTTACTTTAAAATGTGAAGAAATTCAACCCGGGGGCACATAAAAGCAAACAGAACCTCATTATGGAGCTCCTTCTTTTATGTAGATAAGAAAGGTAGAAAATTCAAACGACGTCTGGTGCCCATTAGTGGAAGACACGTCTAACATTACTACCACAAAATCAGCCTTGGTTTAAAATTAGGACGAGAATTTCAGTAGATTCTTGGACAAAGCACATCGACAGGAAGTAGTAGTTGCAAATCATTCTGAGACTTCAAAAATAAAAGGTAGTTCAAGGGACTTATTAGGAGTCTCCTCTCGAAGATCACAAAATGAAATCAGGTTTAGTGAATTTGCCGTTAAATTCCATCTAGTAATTTTGGAATATTTACAGGAGCTATTAGACGAATTTCTTCCTTAAGTTAACTTAAGGCTTGTGGCGTTCTATGCCAACAGAAAGCAGACACAGGGCGTTTGGTTTCATATGAAGGGTGGTCATGTGACATGCTGCTGCAGAAGCAGTAGCAGCAGCAGTGCTGACCTTAAACAGCATGGTGGGGAGTGTGTGTGTGTGTGTGTGGGGGGGGGGGGGCTCCCAAGGCTCCACTAAGAGTTCTGTCTGAGCATGTTCTGAGTCGTACATGTAATACGTTCAGTTGATCTGTAAATTATTTGGCGATATTCTACAGAGGTGAACGACCTGAGATGATGGTGCTCAGCTGATCATCTCCTAGGTGACACACTAGTGCACAGGAGATCCACAGCTCCACAGATGTCTACTTAACATCATGTGTAATTGAAGGTATTGCACACATTCTTTCCCCCCAGTTCGTTCTCCCCGCTCACACCTCACACCCGTTAGCATCCGTCTTACACTACATCAAAGCCGTCAGCTGTGCACTGTTTTGACAAAGAAGTGGCGTTAATGAATGAATACATTTGCCTTCTGCCTCATTTCATCATGCGAATCACACCCTACCTGTCACTAGATTGTGGGAAGGAAATGCTAATTTTCCAAGAGATAATACTTATTTTAAAATAAAATATGACTGTTTCATACCTTTTTCTTGAGATGTAATTTAAAACTAATGGTTAAGTGTGTGGTAGTTTTCACTCTATAGGTGTTAGGTTTCATGCCAGCTTTTAATACTGTATATTCTACCTCTATTCTAATGGAAAAACTGAAGATCCAACATAGCTGTCTCCTAGAATAACAACTGACTACTTCTGGGCCAAACAAACATCTATAAAAGTGATTATCAACTGGCAGCCTGCGGGCCAAATCTGGCCCACAAAACCGTCTGATCTGGACCGTGTCTAACATTATTATTTGATGTTTATGGTCTATTAAATGTCTTTATTTATTTAATAACAGAACAGAAGACGTCTCCTATCACCTATACCACAGTCAGTGGTGGGGATAGCTGTTTGTTATTTAAGTCTCGGGTGTTGTTTTTCAGTTGCTTTAATAGTGGCGACCACTAGAGGCTATATTAGAAGTTAAGGAAAATATTCTCTTGCAAAAATAATTTCTTTTCAAATGAACTTGAATAAACATTTTGTTATCAGGTCATTGGTCAGGTGTCAAAAATCAAGGCTGAATGGACAGTCAGTTTCCACTCATAGACATTGCATGCAGTGCTTGACTAGTCCGTCCACAGTTCAACACAGAGACGACAGTGAGATCATAAATAATGGAGACTTTTTCATGACTTTTATACAGTGGGATTTAGCACAAACTCCCCTTATATTAACTGACAAAGAAGACCTATTTTTTTTAACAGTACTCGTCTAGACATAGAGCTGTGAGCAGGTCTCACAATGAATGATCCTCTGCATTCTCACCTATTCTGTCCAATCTGTCGATGGCGACCGTCTCGAAGGCCCTCCTCATCATCGGGTACTCCTCCAGCACCTCGTTGAAATTGTCAACAGACAGAGAGTACAGTCGACAGTAGGTGTCAGCTCGAACACTGGCCGTCCGTCTACCCCGGGTCAGCAGACAGATCTCTAGTTGGGAAGGGGGGGGGGGGTCGGTCAGAACAATAGAAGATTGTGTCAGAACTTCTCTGAGTGAGAATCCAGTTGTGTAGGCAGGAAAACTACTGTCCAACAGTAACTCAGTTCTTAATACTGTACATCAGAGACCAGAGAGGAAACACTTCTGACCTTCTGACAGTAACAACCAGTGTTTCCTCCAGCACTGACAGCTGTGTGAGGGGAACACTCTATATTTGGAGATGTGCTGCTAAGCTTCATTACATTCACACTTTATTTCACTACTGTATCTCTCTCCCTCCCTCAGTTCTTCTCTTCTTTATGTCCCTCTTAATCTCGGCAACTATGTCCACTCCTCTCCCCTCACCTGAACATTTTTATCTCTTCTTCTGTCTGTGAGGAAGGGAAGAAATAAAAAAACAAAACGACTAAATGCAGGGGTAGAAGCCATTCAGAACACACACAGGGACAGTACACTGGAGTGGAATAACAGCTCCACAGAAAGAGAATAGCAGGTGAAGGTCAGTTTAGCCCAACAACCAGATCTGGCAGTTGTGGTAACACTTAGCCTCAAGGTTAGCCCGTCTGAGCATTCTGGGTAGGATATTATTTCTAACCGACATCATAATAAAACAGCTTTCTGTTGACGTGCAAATAACTTACACAGATTATATAGATATCTCTAAAGTGAGTGGCTGGGTTATATAGAAGAGCAGTCTACATTAATGAGTAAATATTACAGATGTCAAAATTAATGTTAATGAATTGGTGACGATTAATCAGATCAAACTATTGGCCAGATTGTTCTCCAGTGCATATCATATTTTACACATGTTGATTAATCTAGATTGTTAATGAATGATTATTCATTTCAATAATGAACATTTGCAATTAATCATGATTAATCATGATTTTGTTTCTGCCCCCATCTAATCAAAAAATTAATTGAAAAACAAAATACTCTATTGACAGCCCCGGTTAATATGATAAAATGTTTTAGGTTGAGCTCCAGTGACATTATTTGTTTTAATATCTTTAGTTGAGACTGAAGTGTGATTATAAACACATGTATCCACCCAGATTACACAGAGCAGTCGTGTTTCACTCAGATGTTCTTTTACCCCTGTGTTCTGTTTACTCGTTCTGTTTGTGGTTAAAGCACAGTCTGTGTGATGCTGTAACAGGCTAACTAACAGTGCTAATGCTACAGCTCTCTACATGCTGAATTAACAACAACACAACTGTGCCTACAACGTCGTTTTATGAACTCTCTCTCGGGAATGTCCTGTTGCTTTTGTTCTACATAACTTCCTGTCGGCTTTCCCAACAGGAAGTTATGCAGAACATGAGCCTTAAACACGCTTAGTTGTTGGAAAAACAAACAACTGAGTTGGAATTTGGAGTCTAGGTTTAATGCCAACTAAACACTACCTGAAATAATGAAAAAAAGAGTCGTTATGTTTTAAAAAAAAAAGAAGAAATGAAATAACTTGAACTCTTGAATTAACTTTTTGTCCCTTTTTCAAATGTCTTTACCAGACATTTGTCCTAAAAACCCACACTGCTGTTGTTGTTCTGCTGCTGCTCCAGTTCAAGTCCACAGCCTTGGACGGACACGCAGCCATAATTCCCTCCCAGGTGGTACAGGCGGCTGCCAACAGTCTGTGCTTGACATCAGCGGTGGCCCTGTGCTCGCCGTTCTGCTGAGCTAATTAGCTGTTATTAATTGGCTGTGTGTTCATGTGTTCATGTGTTCACATCTCCTGGAGCTTCCTGGACCGCTGAACATCAGCATTACTGCCAGCCATGGGTGCTGGACGGCAGAAAAAGCACAACCCCAGAAGTGTGTGTGTGTGTGTGTGTGTGTGTGTGTGTTTGGTAAAAGTGGGACATAAGCAGCTGTGAGGCAAACACTGAGAATAAACTGTATATCGCAGTCATATTTTTCTTTTTTTTAATGAGTATTTAAAGAATACTTTGTAGTATTTACTGAAAATATTAGTCCTTTTATTTGTCCCACACTGGGAAAATTCACACAGGCTGCCACTGGAGGCGCCATTGAGAATGTGGTTCTTTCAGGAATTGAACTGAAAACCTTCCTTGTGTATGGTAAACGTGTAAAGCAGTTGTGATAACTGTTAGACTATAGAACCACTAAACAAGAAAATACACAGGGTGCTCAACAGGAGGCTCCAAGTATGTGGTTCCTCTGTGTCCTTCTGTGGTTAAGATGGGCAGGCTAGCTAACCGCTACACTAGGGAATCACTAAAACGAGGAGTTATCATTTGTGTTGTGTATTACATGTTGTACTTGTATTACTGTGGTACTTGTATTACTGTGGTACTTGTAAAACCTGCCTGGAGTTTAATGTTAAGAGTCGGAGACAGTCACAAACCTCCAAAATAGGAGCCGTCCAGTAGCTTCATGCCACTGTTTCCTTTGGTCAGCACACTGACCACCCCGTGCTGGATGAAGTACATCTTCTTGCCGATGGTTCCCTCTCTGATGATGTAATCTCTGGGCTGGAAGACTTCAAATCTCAGTTTCGTTAGCATGCCAGTCACAAAGTTCGGATCGGCATTGGCAAAAAGTGGCATGGACGCCACCAGCTTGCGACAGTTGAAGTTGACTATTTCCTGAAAGAGACGTTAGATGGTTTGTTGGTGTTTGTATTTAAAAGAGGGAACGCTCTTATGAATCCAATCAGGTCCAGTCATGGCCCTGGGGGCATATGTCATTTGGCTGAATTCAGTTAACATTTGAATCAAATTCTGTATCTAGTGACTTACTTTTTCGTAGTATTTAAGAAAATATATCCGTGTACACCACTGAAGGAGAGTTCACTAATAATTCCCTGCTCTTTTGCAGTACCCTGTGACACAGCTTGTCTGAAATACTCTCATTATTTTTCCACTTTACTTTCATCTACTGATTTAAGCTCCAGGAGAACACCATTCACTGTGAACTGTAAAGAAAACTGCTGGACACATGAGAAGTCTGTAAAGTCACTGGTAGAATCACTTCAAAAACAGCTGCTGCTGCTGCTGTTGTTTCACCCTGACGTATTTATCAGCCACGAGGAGCTGCAGACAACTTTTTCCGATACCTAATAAATAAGTGAACCTAGAAACTATTTTTAACAAGTAAGCTTCGATTTACTGCAGTTCTTATATTCAGAGGGGACTTGTGTGAGTGAACACGTTACGGTGGCTGTCATACCTCGCGCAGAGGCTCATTAAGCTCCTCCAGGATGCTCTCCTCATCAAACATCTTGCCCTGGTATCGATGCTCATAGTAGTCGTGGATTTTCTGTCGGAAGTCGGCCGGCAGCTTGTGGAAAGACATGTATTGCTCCACTTGTTTGTACTTAAGGAGGGAAGGAAGAGAAAACTAGTCATTATAAAGAGACAAAAAAACTCACAAACCATGTGTGGTCAAATATTTACACCAAAACAGTAAACACAAACTCAGTGAGTCCCGTAGTAAAAAATAGTGTTTACTTTCTGTTTACTGTCTTTGGTGTGTAATTATTGAGATGCGTAGCTCTGTCAACACGACGATCCACTGACCCAGTTATACCTTCAGACTGGGAGAATAAAACTGTCATGAGGCTGTGGAGGCAACAGGAGAACTTTGTAATTCCCCGGAGGATCCCTCACACTGTGTTCTTCTTAGAAAAGAACATTTCTTTTTTCTTTTTTAAACCCAAACAAATATTGTTTCCTTTGTTACTTTGAGGCTCTCTGTGGGGAAAACACATTTCTTTCTGAAATACATAAACAAAGTCTACATAAAGGCTGTGAAGACACTGGTAAATAATTAAATGACGCCGATGTTCCCCTGATACTATTCTAGGAAAGGAGGATGTTTGTTATTCATGCTGGAATTAATAAATAAATGAGTACAAAGCTGAAGTAAAAACATTGGCTCCAGCTGTTTGTTTGCTCAGTGGAGCGTCACACTGAAGTCATTCACACCTGTATCAGCCATGTCTGTCTGCTTCTACCTCACCCTGAAAGTTCTTGTCTGTCCCTCAGCCTATAACTCTTCCATTCATCTCTGGATTTCCTTAGAAAAAAAAAAAAATCCAAAAATCGATGCACTGCAGGATGCAGTAGACACTATGGGCTATGGACACATTGACTCATTACAGTAAACACACATCATCTGCACTCCCTTCACTTCACTTATTTATTAAGATATGTTCATTTTGTGTATTTTAGCGTATCCCATTCGTGGCAAAGTAAATAAACTCTCTTGAGCATGCATGCTAACAACTTCCCACTATTCAGCCTGTCAGGAACAATCCAGACGCAGCTGACTTCCACACTATTTTACCCACTTAATCAACATGGGAATAAACTGGGAGGCTCAGATTAAATGTTTCCTGCTCTGGGATTCAGAGTGTGACAGTTTCAATTAAACCTGAATGACATCTCTCTCCATCTTGCTCTTCCTCTGCCTCTCTCTCTCTTGCTCTCTCTCCTGTTTGTCTCTCTCTCTCTGACTGTTAAAGAGCTGAATTCTACTGAACTGAGATGGTCGTGCACATTCAGATTTTGTAGCGGTGTGTGCATTTGTGCATCTTCTAGGTTTTTTAGAAGATGCACAAATGCACAGGTTTAATTTTTAGGTTTGATTTATTTTGCAATTATGAGGTTAAATCCCAATCTTGTTCAGTAGTTGCCAAATTGATGTTCTTTCAACATGTGTTGTAGCATTTTGCCCAGAAATACATCTTTCACTTCTTAAAATAAATACAGCCTAATACAAAATACAAACCTCATTATCAGAAAAGTAGAAATAAAAAAAAAAAAGCTAACATATTTGTAGTATTTCTTGACAATTTCAGCACTTTGGATTTCTTTTTTCTTTCTCTCAATCATGGTTTCCACCCTGTAGATTCTTTTTTTTTTTTTGCAAGGTCAAACTTCAACATTACAGCCAGGAAATAACCGTGGACTTTTATCCAAAAGCTGAATTTTAAAACGTAACAAATCCAATTTATTTCCCTTTTTGCCAGTAAGCTGTCACTTATCACGGATGTTTCTGTAGAACCTTAAGCCCTCAGTTTGAGCCTTGTGCACATGATGCATGGCTGCCACACAGGCAAGAGAGAAATTGAATTGGTCTTCTTGTTAATAGCTGTGTCAGGATGTGACAAGCCTCATAGTCTGTGTCTCTCTGTGCACGGGAACTTTTCAGTGTATAAAATCCTAGTTGACATTGGCAGCAGCGGAAGCTTCACTCTAGGACTGAGAAGCAGGAGCAGGAAAATAAATACAGGCAAACAAAGACGCACTGGCACACTCTGGGCTGGATGACGTCTGATTTTATGTCTTGTATTAAATTATGAATGACTCCAGAGTGGAGACAAGAGAAATGCATGTCTTCTACAGTGTCAAATACGATGTGAAATGGCTTGGTTTCTGGGATATGCTTCACTTTCTCCTACTACTACCAGTACTACTGTACTAAGCTATGAATATCTGCCTCTTCAAACACATCTTATTTTGGGATGGAGTGTACTTATGACATACAGCAGGATAGAAATATATGTGTATTTCTGTAAATGTATACATAAGTATACATTGTAAATATTTTGTAAAAGTTATTTAAATTCCCATAGTTTTGTGTTAACACTATAATTCAAGTCAATAATACCAATAATAATAATAATAATAATGTAGTTCATTAAATGTTGTGGCCTTCATGAAGCAAAAGGTGCAAAAGAACGACCTATTACATTTTATCTGGTTATTTTCATTATTAGAGCGACAACATTAAAGACATGAAAAAACTCAAACCCTGTTTTAAAAGTTGAACATTTTCTTCTAATTCATGAAAAACAATTTAACAACACAATAAAGTACGTTATTGTGTTTTACCACGTCATCTCTCTTCAAATTATATTTAAGATGGGTTGTATTTAAATGTTTTATTGAAAGACTACCTAGTCTTTTCCAAGGCTAGGCACGGCTAAGCTAAACATGCTAACACCACAATAAAGTAGGAAATGATTATTCTCCACTAACATTTCACATTAGTCAGTGTTTATGCTGTGTTTAACCACTCAGTGGACAGACACAGGTTATTCAGACCCATTCTACGAGCATTTATTTGTCACAGTGTTGGCTGTGCAAGCATTTTATTTCAAAGAGAGAGCCTCTGCCTGAGAGCAGTTTGTGGGGAATGTTTCATAATTACTTTTTGTATATGCCTTGAATTGAAGGAACTCCAAATCAGCCGAAAAATTTTGCAGCCGCTGCATCTCCACTCTGTTATAATTGTAGCTGAATGATGAATGAGAATAAGGACTGTGCCGTGTCAGTTCATTCTTAATGACGACGGGAGCGTTTGAATTCCCAATACAAAGCACTGCATGAACAGCAGGGACTTTTCATAAATAACAAACTCAGAATCTTTCTTACAAACTGAAATATTGACTGATCTGACTACAGCAAATCACTCTTCTGTCAGTATTCTACAAAAATGATTAGGTCTCTTCCTCGCAGCAGATTCTCATTCTTGGCTCTCCTTCACACAGACTTATTTAGATCCTGCACATATTTCTGTGATAATCATATCTGTGAATGAGGGCGGGTCTAACTTCTTGGCTATCTTGCACTGATGTGAAGTCATGGACTATCATTGATGGAATAACTGAGCCTTGGATGGATCTTCCTTTTATACCTAGTCTTGTGTCCCAGTTAACACGGTAACTAATAACTAGTAATAACTAGCATGGGAAGAGCAGCATCTTTTCTGGCAAAGTGCTCCGTCAGGACAGGGTACTTATCAGTGAAGGCTCAGACATCACCTGCCCCTCCTGTCGCAGCTACTCGGACACTGTGTCCTACTGCTGTTCAGGGGACAGGAGACAGTTGTTACATAATGACTGATCTGTGGTGTCCACTGGCAGATGGTGAACTGCCCCACAGTCAACTTTGGAGTGAAAAGTGAGGGGACAAGTGGCTTCAGTATGTACAGTATGTCAGTTCACAAAGACGACATACTGGATGTAGAAATATTCTACATCTAATATACTCTAAGGACATGTTTTTGACGTTAAACACCAAAATAATACTGCAGTACTTTGTGTAATAAAAGTAAAAGCTCAATGGTGATACTGAGATGCTCCTCGACTGTTTCACCAACCACCAGCGTGTCCTTTTTCACTCCATCCATTAATCTTCTCTATGGTCTCCCCTTTGTTCCTCCAGCCTCGCTGCCTCATCTCCGACATCCTGTGTCCGATGTTTCCACTATCTCTCCTCGGCACGTGTTCAACTCATCTCCTCACCTCTCTGACTCTCGTCTCCAAACTGCTCAACCTCAGCCGTGTCTTTGATCCACTCATTTCTAATCCTGTCCATCCCGGTCACTCCACCGATGAAACCCAGCATTTTAGCTCAACCTCCTTCCTTTAAGACAGCAGTGCAGTTTCTATAACCTCATACTGTAGCGCAGGCCTATCAAACATATGGCCCGCGGGCCCAAACTGGCTCACTAGGGCGTATAGTACGGCCCACTTGTTGAATTTTGAAAATGAACAAATACACAAACAATACACAAACACTTATATTATAATTTTTTTTTGTAAAATCATATTTCATTAAATATGAATAAATAATAATAAGTATTGAATAAACTTGTGCTTCTTTGCAGGAAAACAAAGGGGAGAAACATGGACTTGTTATCTCGAGGTGATTATGTTATGATTGTACTGGTCCGGCCCACTGGACGGTGTCACGAGCCTCATGACGAGAATCTGTTTTCATTGTAGCGTGCTCCAACCCAGAGCTCTTTCTGTCTGATAGTCCTGCTGCAGACGACAGGCTGGTACTGTCCAATTCACTGTTAATGATCAACAAATGCTCCTGGAGACAGGGGTGGAATGGGGGTCGCATCTGTTATGTTCCAGCCGAGCAGGAAGCTGCCACTGTGATGTCAGTGTTTCACTGTTGTGCATCACGAGACGGAAAGGAGAGCAGCAGCAGGAAGTGATGCCTCCAGACATCACATACTGTACAGTAGCTGTCAAAGTATAGCCACCAGTAACTGACACAAAACAGAGACTCCAGTTACCCAATCTCTGAGCCTCTGTATATTCACAGCAGAGATGAGAGAGCTGTTCTTACTGCGACACCCTGTGAACTCGTTCCAAATTTGGTATGGGTGTCAGGCCAGAACAGACAAAGTATAAATTTAGCAATCTGGCAGAAAGAAATACACCGGTGTAAAATAGTTGTTAAAGTATGATCAAGTCAAGTTGCTATAAACTGCATTCTAGTCACAGAGGTATTACACTCCAAATTTAATTTTAGGTCAACTCCGTGCTGAGGATTGCTGATTATTACCAAATACACACTACATACAGTACAAACAGTACAGTAAGTGACAGAAGACAGTAAGTCTTCCCCCGGGATATCTGGTCTGCCTTAAACTCGACATCGTCATTGATGTTTAATTATATCCCTACCCAGAGAATAAGTCAAAATAAAATATTGTATTTCTTTAACACCCACAATCAGATGTAAACAGAAAAACGTCTATGCGCTGAAAAAATATTTTTATAATTCAGAGTTTTGTATCCACTTGTGTGTCCCAAACCACAAAGACAATTCTGCATAACATGTGTGGAACAATTGCATGACACATATGACTTACCTTTTCTTGATACTGCCGTCTTGACGAGTCCAAAGACTGAATGAGTGCGGTAGCGTGGCCTATGAACATGGCGTAGCAGGTGGCTCCTACTATCATACTTAGCATGGTTAGCCAAATGTCCGACATGCTCTCCGGGGCTTGTCTTCCATATCCGATGCAAAGCATGTGGCTCATGGCCTTAAAGAGGGCAAAGGAGTACAGCTCACTCCACGAGTCGTTCTGCAGGAAATGAGAACGAGGGAGAACAAAGATGGAATTTCATTTTTAGAACCAAAGTGATGCATGCAGGCGAGATAGAAAAATTCATCTTTGGAATGAAATGAAGTGACATCTCAATAAAGATACAGTATTTAATCATGTGACCGACTTTTGATGCGCTTTCATTAACCCAACAATGGAGGCCTTTATTACTGTATCTACAGTTTATGGAGGACACGATAAAATGTGGTTCAACTTTAATGAGACTCTGGATGGTTCCTAGTTTGATCAATGTATAAAATGATCAAACCATCTTTTCTCACTCAGCTCCTAACTTTTACTTTAATGCTGCTATCATTTTGCATCGTGTCTACATCTGTGTAGGTCTCTGTGTCTGGTGGCAGACTTTGGGTGGAGAGCCCTTATCATCATCACAAAGCTGTGTTTTTCTTGTCTCGACGAAGCCCAAGATGAGTGGAGGAGAAGTGTTAATGAGGAGCCTGTGCAGCTGACTGCTTTACTCCGTCTATGATTGGTGCTCAAACACTCAGTCAACTCCAATTTTTCCATGTTGGGGTCATTAAAACCTCATCCACAGGCACTGTGCAGCCCTACAAGCTGCTCTTGAACAGGTGTGATTCATACACACACAATCCAGGATGTTTCTGGGTTTTTTTCTCTCTCTGTTAAGAGACATTCTCGGCCACTGACCGACTCGTCAGGCTCCCCTTAAGATTTGCAATAAACCCAAGGACATTTGCTTTTAATTTGTGATTCAAATTAGGTAGGTTCGCTGTGCAGAGGGAAGGTGAGATTTTCAAATAATGAATAGCTAGAATCTCACTAAGAACTGGACTTGTTTTTGTACTGTCTATAGTTTGCCATCAGTGGAAAATATTTTATCATATTTTAAAAAAAAAGTTATATATTCATAACTGTCTTTGTCGCTGCGGCCACTGTCTTACTCTCAAAGAAACCCTGACAAAACTTTCATCAACCCTCAGGTGCTGAACAGACCAGCAACCAATCACTTACTGCCGCATACTATCTACTGTATAAAAGGTTAAAAAAAATAATAATGAAGGAACAGTTAATGTTTTAAATTAGTGCATATTTCAATTCTGGTCTACACGGAATGGGACGTCAGGAGGTTGCTGTGTAATGAGGGTGATTAAACCATTACTTGATCCAGCCCCTAATATCTGCATATTATATCTTTACTATTTAGAAAAAGGATTCATCTGTTTAGAATTCATCGCAGTAGGAGACTCAGAGATGCAGTTCCTCCGGCGGCCACAACTTGTTTTCATCAAAGGTTCCAGCATCTTCACTGAGACGCAGCTGTACATTTAGGTCTGCTCTCAGTGTGCCTTCATGTGCATCCAATATGCCTTAAAGACGTTGCAATCTGTGTCCAACAGTTCTGACATGGCTGGGGTAGGTGTGTGATATATGTCGGTTTTCTCTCCCTCATATACAGTATATACATACAGTCAGCCAGACAAGGTGGTGGACACACCGAGACAGTTCAACTGACCAAATTAGGGTCAGTTGAAATGCCTTGCGAAGCTGGGATCTGCTCCCCCCACAGGCCTGCTCTACTTGTCAGGTAGTGGATGGCAAAGGTCAACTTGGCCGCATCAAAGTTTAATGTAGAAGAACCTGGAGGAAACGAGTTGGAGTCGTTGGTCAGGAACAGGATGTACTTCTTGGGATCTCACTCACAGAGCTGTGTGTGTCCCACTCAGACCAAAGGGTCAGAATACTGGAATACTGGCTAATGATTCTGACTGGTCCATAAGATGGACCTAGGACCATTGATGTGCGGTTGATGTCGTCTGCTGAAGCTGCTTGTACATAAGCTGCAACTCATGGTCTGGTTTTCAGGAATTCTATGAAAACTTTGTGTGATCCTGTGGTGAAATGGTGGGTGCTGGGTTCACAACCAGCCAGATGGTTCTGTAATGGTTCTATTTGGGGTCCAAATGCAGTTCAAGAAATTGTGGTTGTAGATTGCAGAAGTCCTTTAATGATGAAAAAGTTACATCTATATACAAGGCTCAAACAACAACCACCAAAGACCAATGAAAACCAAGTCCAACAGGTCAGAGAACAACTCGTAGCCACAAAACAGAAGTCAAGATAGAATATACTGTAGACGAGTAGGTAGGTCAGAAAACAGGAAGGTTCTGAGATTCACCCTAACCCTAGTAGAATCCTGAGGAGATAAAAAAATGTGTTGAAAAGAGAGGCTTTTATTATGGATGATTCGTGACGAGACGCAGCTGGAACGACAGGTGAGGAGGATTAAGCTGCAGAGATGAAGAGTGGCCTGCAGACTGATTGCAGCGAGAGGTGAACAGAATGGTTGCGAGTCAAATTTGGAGCAGATTGTGACAGCAGCTTTTGATTGTCTGTAGCTAAACAACCAATCCCAGTGATCTGTTTCTGACAGAAGGCCTCGCAGATTTATTCATCATCTACCGCTTGATCTGATCCCCAGCAGTCATCGGGTGAGGGTAAACCCTGGACAGTCCATCACAGAGACAAACAACCATTCAAAGTCACACTCATACCTATGGTCATCTTAGAGTGTCCAGAAAACCTTGAACCCAATCTACATTTGAACATTGAGAGGAAACCGGACACAAACAGGAGGAAATAAACTCAATACAAAAAGAATCAGGTTTAAACAGCAGGATGTCGTAGCACATGGCTTGTAGCAAAGATTTTAAATATTAAATCTGTCATAAAAAAAAACACCTTATAGTGAATCCTCTAAAAATGCCACGATGAGCGAGTGATGTCACACAGACTGACGGTTCCTTGTCTTTGTATAATCACAGCAATCATCACACTTGTTGATTGCAATTTTAATATTTTACTGAAAAGCTGTTTACAGAACCCTACATTCAGAAAAACATGTGGGGCTAAAAATGACACAGCAACTTTTCTTCTCAGAACGGGGTTGGTTTCAGAGGGCCGACTTGGCCCACAGAGACAGCAGCTGTACTTGGACTGTCTGTTTATAGCCTCAACCTTAAACCAGGCTTTTCAATAGAAATCAATTATTCATTAACAACATATCAATCAGTTGTATGTATATGCAATACATAAATCATGAAACACGTCCTTTCTGTTCTTTATCGAACCAGTCCATACACGTGAACACTCTGGAGACACAGCAACACCTTCAGGCAATCTGAATAAATGAAAGACTCAGTCGTGTTTCCTGCACTACTGAAATACATTTTTATAACTGAAGAGCCTGGCGGCTGATGTGGTCAGTCGCGGTCACAACACTCACATGCCAACACTTGGACACAGTTATCATACAGTCAATGACAAGAGCAGCTTATCTGTAACTATGGCATTCTTGAGTGGGGGGGTTAGCACTACAGGAAGTACTCACCTCACTACTGACATGAAGTAAAAGTAACATACTGTATATCTATATATGTATATATAGGCGTTGCACAATTTCACAACTTGAAAGTCTACTCTATTGTAATGAAAGTCAACTATTCGCTGACGACATCATCATTTTTTAGTATTTAAATAATTGGAGGAAGACGGTATCTTTTGCCAAAATCTGTATTTGATGAAATCGTACACCTTATGATCTAACACAAAACAACAAGTATACCATTCACAGTGCACAATGCTTCCATATGTGGCTCATCTAAGCTAACTGCTAGTTAATTACGTTGCTGGTGGTATGAAATAATGCGCTGTTACAGCCCCATGGGTGAGTGTTGTTGTGGCGAGGGATTTCCACGTTCAATAAAAATCCACATGATTCCGGCACGGTTTCTTTCATAATTAATGCCCATTCACTAGTAGACATAAATGCATAGCTCCTCAAAAACACCAGGCACTTTTGCAGATACCTGGTGTAGCCATTCAAATAACAGTGGGTGTGACAGAAGCTGGACTAAAATAAAAAAATAAACATTCCATCACGCACATAGTTGCTCTTCACACTATTAATAATTTTAAAGTGTTTTTTTCAGCTGATGTGTGCATCATAGGGACGGTAGAGATCATCTGCTGTCGTCATCATGGAAAAGTTACAGATAATGTGCTTGAAGGAGTGACGGATAATTTTATCAAGAAGAAAGGAAGAAAAAAACAAGGAAGGATTGCAATATATATATATAGCAATTGTATTTTAATATATACATATATACATGTACATATATATATATATATACATATAAACATATATACAAACATATAGACATATATACATACATATATATATATATGTACCCACTGTAGTGTATGCCTTGGGGACACAAACAAAGTGGACTAACTGTAATCGAGTCATTGTTTCTATTTTAAGGTGAACTGTACGTGGACGTATGGTGGATGATGAAAAACAAGGGCGGAGTGAGGCTTAGTTCATGTCCAGCACTGCTGCAGCAGCCAGTCAGCCTGAAGTGGAGCACGAGCAGGAACATCACTTAAAGATGGCCGTTTATTTAAAGCTACTCTAAAAGGATTCCCGACAGTGGTAACACCAAGACGTACAGTACATATCAGAAGCCGTGCCCTTAGAGGGTCTCTCTCTCTCTCTCTCTCTCTCTCTCTCTCAGAAGTGTGTTCTGGCCTCTACTACAGAGTTTTGCAAACACTTTCACGACTTCAGAGGAGAGGAGAGTGACAGAAACAAATATGGTCAGAGACGGAAGACATGGAATTTGAGAAAAGCAACAGTGACGTCCCCTAGGGTCAGTGGGTGTGAGATCCATCTGTTCCTGGGGATCACACACACACACACACCCAGAAAGCACATTTACACACACTCCAGTACACTACAGCACTGTGTCACAGGACACGGTGTTATCAGGGAACTATTTTAGAAGCTTTGGATTTCACAGATCTGTCCAAATTAGAAAGTTCATTCACAGCATGTGAGAGTTTCCTGACGGCAGCACTTCCTGTCTCAGTCAGGAGTCTAACAAGTGGAGAAGGTGCTGAACTAACTTCAACAACACCCAACTTTGAGAAGGAGGTTAAGTAAAAAGTAAGAACCAAATCAGCACTTTTCAGCAATCACTCAAATGCAATTCCCTCATTCATTGCCCTTTTTTGTTTCCATTCTTCTGACAGTTAACTAAAGCTACATTCTGTGTGGATTTTAACAGTCTACTCCTATCATGGCTAATTAACATATGTATGATTCCGAGGCCTTAACGAGTCATGAGAAATCAAATGTTGGCGCTGAACTATTCTGCATTTGCATATGTCTATCATGAATAATTTAAAATGCCTCTCTAGTGTCTCTTGTGGTGGAATTAGTATAGCCCTCCCAAACTGTTAGCGTTTTTTTAAAGACTGACTGACCTTTCTCTGTGCAGACATAAAGCTGCTGTACGTGTGTGGAATACAGAGAGGACCACAGAATATGATACAGAGTGACATACGTTCACATCACTGTGTGTCAATGAAAGATCTATGGCTGTCAGACCTGTGGTGTGTGATCTTAAAGAAGACAGGCTCTTGTTGTTTCTCCTGTAAACACCTCTTGGGTTTAACTAGCGACAGTTTAATTGGGGCCATTGTTGTGCAAGCATGTGTAGAAACTCAGCGTTTAATTAACTCCGTTCCTCGTCTGCGTGTTACTCAGCCGTGTCTCCTTGGAGGATTTGATAGGACAGCACAGGGGCTGTGCTCATTGGTCTATCTTTTTTGTTTACACTTTTGAAAGTGATTGTTTAACTTTAACCCCCAGAGAATGAAAACCCACTGACGGGTTAGCTTACCACCATCTTATTGAGGGAAACCCAGCAGTCGGATGGAAAGTCCTGCAGCATGGGAACGAGGAACTGGAGACAGCCATCCCAGTGACACAGCAGCAGCATCATTCCAATCAGGTTAATTATTCGCATCACAGCGCTGGCCAGGTCATAGGTCATGTGAAAAATCTGTCCGAAGGAGAGAAGGAGAGAAGAGCAAACGGAGGATTAAAGCTATAAAAAAAAATAAAAAAATTCTGTTTGTTTTTTCAGATGCTACCAGCATGACGTTTGTCCTACATGTGAAGGAGGCCAGGTTCTGCATGTCCCTGAACACTTTGAAGAGATGCCTCGCTTGTACAGACGGGTCAGAACGTCCACTGGCTCAGACCGTCACCTCAGAGGCCCCGCTCCTTATCTTACTTTAGTGTCATCATAATGTTGCTCTTCTACAGTAAGTAACACAACAAGGTAAAAGCCAAAGATCTTCTTTCTACAGGTCCCTACCATGGCTTTTGGCCTTTGCTCATTCAGGAAAGCAGAAAGGGAAATCACCCAGCGGGGTCCCGCTCTGTGATTAGGAAGCCCCATCATGATTGATGAGGCTCCAGGACTAATGCTTCCCCCGGAACCAGAACAGCATCTGGCCATGAATCTCTGTCAGACCAATATCTGGGTCAAAACACACAACGTAGACACAGCCCAAAACTACAGCCTAAAATGGATTTATTTAATGGAACAGCAGACGGCCAATCTACAACTAAAAATAAACATCTTTGTACAGAGATTGTACCTGGGACTTAAAGGTAAATAAGAACTTTGTGGCAGCTGAACTGTCGCCCTGAGGCAAAAACACGATGACCAGGAAACAGCACCCCCTTTCTCACATCAATCACACCCCACTTCACCTGTTTGTGGACTCATTTGAAATGGATAAAGACTGTGAATCCTCATAGACGTAGATGTTGCACTACAATGTACTACCACACCTTCAGATGATTTTTTTTTTTAATTTTTGTGAAGACTTTTTCAGAGTGTTAGAATAGCATATTATTGTTTTCATTGGTGAATATACATATAAGTATATTTTTCCTGAACCTTAAGCATAAAAAGGTCATTGCTGTTTATTTTAAGACAAATTAATGCATTTTTAATCATTTTAGAGAAACTGTTATTTATTAATTTTTCAGAATCATATATGTATAGTATATCAATGTGATTAATTGTTGATGTACTGAAAAGGTATATTTTTTCCTGATTTTTTTTTAGGTTTTTTTAATTGCAATTTGAGGCCTTTGAGATTTTACATTTTTTGCATTTTTTGAAAAATGTCATGCTAGTAAGGTTTGTGGGTCAACCTCTCACACCTCAAAATATGATTTTTTTATAAGATTTCATGCTTCATGTGTCAAGCCAGGAAACCATGTTTCCCAGTTTATATAGTTTTAGTTAAGGTTATTTTCTTAAAAATATTCTTTAAATTTACATAACATAGTTAAAGAAATATAAACAACCCCTCAGATTTCAGTGTAAGAAGAATCCTGCCAGTGAAAGCTTTTATTTCCTGGGAAATAACTTTGTTATTTTCCATCGTCTTTGCTAATGAGCACAAATTATTTTCTAATAAATACTGCATTGCTCTGCTGGCTCACAGGGAGGAAATTATTCAGGTGTCAAGGTAATTGCCATACCACATGGTACCACATGGTACCACATGGTACCACATTGTACGATGATATTTATTAATTATGTTCTTAATTTGCTCGCTGAGCAAACCAGGTGCACTGTTCCAGAACAAGATTTGATTCCATTCAGCATGATCATTTTCATCTACGGGAAGACATCAAGGATTGTCAGTGGTGATGCTGATATATCACTTGGTTACATTTATAATATTATATATTCTGTAGAATATGTAATATTTATTTTATTGAATTTCACAGTTGTTTTACAGAAATTGAGAAAATATTAACAGTATTATTTTATTCTGATATTATGAATTTAAGAAGTAATGGTTTTTTTCAGTTACTTCAGTGTTATTTCACTTCCGACATGAAATAATCGATTTCTGTACTTTTATGGAATTTTCTAGTTCTGTTTTTTATGAAAAATCTGCAAAACAAACAGGTGAAATTCTGTTAAACACCAATACCGTCTGTGAGCCAGTGAGTGTCAGTGAGGGACTCCACTCTCCCAGTTGCTCATGGACAAATGGATGGGTGGATTAATGGATAGAAGGATGTTTGGGTGGCTGCTGTCTTCCATTTAGGTGTGTCATTCTTTGACACTGGTGAAATGCCCTTTCTACAAAGTGGAAATGAAGGGAACTGGTGTAGAGAGATTGCACTTCCTGTTTGGTGTAGTCTGAGTTTCCTCTTGGATTAGACACAGAAGCAGATGTTTGGTTTTCATGAAATATATACTTACCCAGTGGTTCTCCAACTTTTTCTACTCTGTTCCACCTGAGAAAACATTGATCTCTCTGAGTACCACCATGATGACCAACATTAGAATATAGCAGCAGAGGCCTTCACTGTTAGCTTCCACCACAGGAGAGATGTTCAGGTTTAAATGTTGTATTAATTGTGCATGGTATGTTTCAGATTTATTCAGTTGAAAATGTAAATGTGAAAATAGGAATTCACCCTGCGTACCACTAGAGGGTGCTCCTGTACCACTGGTGGTATGCGTACCACAGTTTGAGAACCACTGTACTAACCTACAGGATGATAGATATGGAATGTTACTTGCACGTGTATGTTCCAATGACTCTGGTAAGTATAACTACTGACTCTCATATTAAATACACAACTTATAACATGAGCTCTTTCTTTTGCACTGAAGGGCTACATTCAGAATCATCAGCTGAAAGTGTGCCTACCTCCTCCCACTGGTGGATGTAGCGAATAAGTCTGGACAGCCTCAGGAGACGCAGCAGACTGAGGATCTTGGTGAACCGGACGATGCGGAGCGCCCGTGCTGTTTTGTACACCTCGGAGTCGATCCCTTTCTCCACGATGAGAAATATGTAATCCACAGGTATAGAGGAGACGAAGTCCACCACGAACCAACTCTTCAGGTACTTCTCCTTGATCTTTTTAGGGTCCAGGATAATCTCGGTGTTGTCCTCAAACACAATACCTGTCCTGAAGTTGAGAACCAGATCTATGAGAAAGAAGGTATCAGAGAAGACGTTGAAGATGATCCAGGGCGTGGTTGTCTCGTCCTTGAAGAAGGTGATGCCAACAGGGATGATGATCAGGTTGCCCACCATGAACATCAACATGGTGAAGTCCCAGTAGAACCTGACACAGAGCAGCAGTTTGTTATGGTGGCAACATAAGTTCAAAGATCCAGAGGAAATAGAAACTATCCACAGGACACTCAAATAATGTGAAATTTAAAAAAAAAAAAAAAAAATCACATTTTTATCTAACATTATTATTTGATTTTTATTTTAGAATCCAGTAGTGGGCCAGAGACGGCCCACAAGCCACCAGTTGATGATCACTGCAATCAAAGATCAAGTAAAATAAGTATGAGAAAAGAAAAATCCAGGAAGTGTTTAGTGTATTTATACTCTGGGCACAATGTTGTGATGCATTTTATGACAGACGCTGCGGGCCGTAGGAAAGATTTACCATGGGCTGCAATCAGCCCTCGGGCCAGACGTTGAGCATGCGGGAACTAAATGTTTATTATTTAATTTATAAATAATTATTTCCTTTACATTTCTCCCTCTAGTGGTCACCTGCTACTACTACTATTGTGACAACAACCGGACTGTGGCTGTGACCCTCACCTGAAATCGCTGTACGGATGAATGATCCAGTTTCCTGCCGACTTTACTCGCTCTTGCTCCTTTTCCACTGCCTTCTGGCTGCCAAACATGCGCAAGGAGAACTTGTTAACTCCAGGCTGGAGCATGGAGCTGAACTGCCTCTGCATGTAAGTTTGATTGCCCCGGGGATCTCCATCATCCGGTGCTATTTGAGAGCCCTCCTCAGCTTTAGTGAACGCTACAGAACTTCTGGACTGCTGACTCGGTGTCTGACCTTTACTACCTGGGCCACTGGAGAAGGCAACTCTGGAGTCCCTTTTCTCTGTGGCCGATGCTGTCTTGACCTCGCCCCCCTGCCCCTGGGTTAGGGACCCCTGTGGAGTGATAGAGCCGTCCATGCTCGCAGCCTGCCCCTTGTCTTCCGCTGCCGCTACTCCATCCGTCTGCTTCTCCTGCCTTGGGATGAGGGAGGAGAGGCTCCCTGAACTGGTCGGGTCCCTTCTACAATCTCCGTTTTTGTTGCATATCATTCCGATGACCGTCACTGTCGCGTCCACACCTGAGACCTGGTTCTCTGCTCTCCTGTGGTCTGACTCTGAGCTGCTCTCTCCGCCGCTGGCAGCATCCCTGTGGCGAAGCGGAGAGGAGACACTCTGAGGTGTGGACTCCTCGTCTGGCCACAACCACTGCTCACGGTTGAGGGAGTTTCTGCGGGCAACGCAAGCTCCGCCTCCTGGCAAACGTTTCTTTATCTTCGCTCCCTCCATGTCCCCGTGGTCCTGTGGAGGGGGCTCCTGGAAACCTGGTTCCTCGCCATCGTCTCTTCTGTCAACCAGCATTGTCAGTACAAAGTGAACCGAGGAAGGGCCTGGGGGGTGGAATGGGTGGTCAGAGAAGCATCCCCACACCCTGTGTCCACCAAACCAGTGGTTTAGAACACATTGATTGACCAATCAACACTCTGAGGACTCAGTCAGTTGATTAAATGATTCAAGTCAGGTGTACTGCTGCCAGGTGGGAACAAAAACATGCAGCAACAGCGACCCTTTGTGGAACTAACCGGTAACCTCTGATATAAAGTAAGTAAAGGTTCAAAGTTAGTATAGGCGAAAGTGGACATCCTCAGGGATATTAAAATATATAAAATAAAATAAATAAGTATAAAATACAAACATAGACACAAAACACAAGTTGTCATTCTTTTACTAAACCAATATATATATTTAAATGTCAGTTATTTAAAGGTGTTGTTATTATTAGCAGTTTGAGAATTGATCTTTGAACACTTTGTTTGAATTTAAATTATTATTCATTTATATATACACAAATATTTCTGTTGATATGAATTAGTTAAATATTATATTATGTATAATATTAATATGTTTTTATTTTCACGAGGTTCTTTTGTCTTGGAAATTGTCTTTATTTCAATATAGTTGAGGAGAGGGAACTACAAATAAGCAACGTTATCGTCAGAATCTCCTTCTACAGTCAAGGTAAACTCCCCAGTGGTTAACGGGCGCCATCGTGTGGTATAAGCTGCACATTGCAACCTACAGCACATTGACATCTGACAGAGGAACATAAAAACATTGAAAAAACGGTGACAAAAGGTCGTTATTTTGTGATATAAATATGAATTAAATATATTGACTATATTGCTAGAATATGTATTCCCCCATTTTTTTCCCCCAGGTTTTAAATTCTAATTCAATATAAAAACTCAGTTTAGTAAAAAATGTTTTGTTCATTTGGCAGATATATATATATATATATGTATATATATATTTATATATATATACATATATATATATATACACACACACAATTGTATCTGTTTCGGCCGTAAGCTGTTGTCGTTGTATGTTCTACTATCCTACATTGCACAACTTTGCTTGAGGTCAAGGGTTTTTCTACAGCCTCTTATCTGGCTTACACAAATGTAAATGAAGCAACTAAGTTTGCATAATAAAACCAAGAACTAGAGTTTTTTTAAAGGAACTGAATAAGAAACTTAAACAAACTTAAATAATAAAAAAGAATGACTCAGAGTGGAATCAAAAATAATAATTATAGTTTGGTCATTTACCAGTGTTACTTATCAGGGTATTAAACAAAAAGTAATTCAATTTGTGAAATGTGGGAGGCAAACTAAAAATGTTGAACAAGTCAAATTCTAGGAAGTTACTCAACTAGCAGGTTAACTGGTGACTGGTTTTAGTGAATCATTGGAAATACTGTAACAGCAAACAACAACAGCTCCTTCATTGCAAATTTGTGGTTAAATGCAAGTCTTTTGATCTTTTCAGCAAAGTAGAGAATTGAAGTGAGATCAACTAACACTCCTAAGTGTGTATTTTTGAAGTAAAAGGAGGTAGAAAAACCAAACCTGCACTGAATGAGCAAGACATCATGAAGTCTTGCACTGGCCATTACCGACCTTTGACAAAACAGACACCCTGAATCTGCTGCTGCTGCGTAAAAATGCTCAGTGTTGTGCAGGGAGGAAGTCGTATTTCAACTTCATGCAGAAAGTCGTTAACTTGTTGGGGCCTGACCTCTGTGTGGACCCAGTGTGTGTTCTGATCTGGTCAGCTTACACTCCACATCTGTCCCACATTAAAATACCTGACATTAGGACAGATAGCAGCAACCAGAGTGTTGCTGCTAACTAATTGTTGTATATTGAGAAAAATATCAATATACAACAATTAATGTTTCTCAGTAGCAGAGCTAATTCTTATTAGCTCAATACAAACACACCTGATATTTATTTGAATGATTGAATGTTGGATAATACTGCTTTAAAATTTAAATTTCTTCTAGTACAACACAGTGAACTGTCCAATGCAGCTGCAATTAGATTCCAAAATTCTTAGACAAACATAGTTGTTGAGCCCTTGTCTGGTCTCTGAAACAACGCTGAAAAATGCAACGACAAGTTTTGTTTTTTAACAAATATTTTTGTACTTAAACTGATAGCCCCCTAGTTATTCCCCATGGATTTATTACCCGAGTAAGGAAAGAGAAGCGAATAAACAAGACAAGTAAAAGTGTATATTTATTCCATTTGTGCGGGTTGTACAGCAAATTCTGTTGCAGTCAATTGAAAGTACAGTGATTTACACAACGTTGTCTTAATCCTACTTGTTTATCTATGAAATGGTTCAGTCACAACAGGACTATGGTTAAATGATCGTATGGCTTTGTGTACTCGGACAACAAATGACATGTTTTATATTTCTTCTTCTTGAAAACATCTGTGTGACCAGGAAAGTCAGACTGCCGTCTTACACACCTAAAGCAACCAAACATAACATTTCTTGCATTTGGTCCACAACTTTAGCTGTAGATTTGACACTAGCGAAAACCAAAAGATGGGCTAAAATGAAAGTAGATTTGACACTAGCGAAAACCAAAATGGGCTAAAATGAAAAAAACAAAACAAAAACAAAACAAAACTGATGGATAAAATAAAATTAAAAGACCATTTAAAGCTTAACCGATCAAAAACTAAAACTTCTTATGGCAACAAGACCCTATACCAAAAAAGGAATCTTACTCAATAAGGTGTATGTGCTTAAGTTTTTCAATCAAAGTGGAGTAAGAAATTTAAAATAGACACGGGATTGGCACCGGTAATGTTCAAAGTTTAAACTCTGCCAAGGTTCGTCTGTTTGGTTGTTGCTCTTTGAATGGTGGTGCCTTTTTAGAATGAATATCCTCAAAACAATCAGAACGCTTGTGCTGGTTTACCAGTCACTATCTCAAAGTGGAGGATATGAAAGCAACAGCCGACCACTGTGAGGTTAGTAAAGGAAGCATTAGCAAAAGGAGACATAACCACTGACTAAGCACTCCTCACATGACCATTCTAATGAGTTTACAACACACACACACACACACTTGGCTAGACCAGCGTTTAAACTCATGCAGTGTCGGCCCTGGGCATGGACTCGAGCAAAAATGGTTTGACACTATGTCCTATGGTTGCACGACAAGGAAAAGAATATAGAGTGAAATAAAATAAACAAGAATAAATCCTTCAGTTTCTTAAAACACTTATCATCAAACACATTACAGTTATTCAAAGTAGCAGAGTGCACAGTTTAATGTGCCCCGCAGCAGCCCAATCCTGGACTCCTGCTCACCTGGAGGAAGAAGAGGATAAATGAAATGTCATGTCAGGACACGTGCGTGTAACATTTTTTTTCATTTAAATCAGATTATTCTTTAAACTCTATATTCCCTTACATACGCACCTCTTTCTTCTTCTAGTTAGAATTTCTTTGCCTCACATTCTTGTCCTTGTGGTTAGTAGTAGAATTGCTCTTCCTGAAACACAACAGAAGAAAATAGTGTGAGATCAGTGACACTGACAGAGAACCACAGATGAGATGCTGCAGTGTAGAAATGTACTTACAGAGGAGCAGATCCTGAGTCATCATCTATAAATAATCAAAGAAAAAAGGCAAACATTAAAAACGCTGAGTCAACGTGAGATCACAGTTCTAGTTCAGTCAGACATGCTCCTCATCCCAGACGATGAAAGCACGTCATAACGTCATCTGCAACCAACGGTGGGGTTATGGTTAAGTCTGGGTGAATGTGAGCTAAGGCTCTCTCAGTTGTGTTTCTTGCAATGGATAAGAAGGAGAATGTCCTCACATCATTTACAAAACACACAAACAGTGTTGTGTGCCAAATGTCACTCGATGCAGCCTGGTGATTGTTTTAGTAAATATGCTTCAAACACTCTGTGTCCAGAGTCATCCCCCTAACATCACAGAAGCTCATGCAGTACAAGCAGAGGACACCGTTGTGATTCTATCATGACAACAGTAAATCTCTTCACTTTGGCAGAAATGACCTGGCATGAAGTGTGTCTGTGTCAACGCCACAGCAGAAGCACATTAAAGGGTAAGATACAGTAGAGCGTCCTTGTCTGTGGCCGAATGGAGAACGAGACAAATGGTAAATGGTAAACCGGTCTAAGAGGAGGGTCGTCTCTAGTTTGTCATGCACAGTACAAGATGCAGAAGACATGCAAACAGAACAGTGAAAACAACTCGCTTCTCAACCTTATCCGTTTCACGTCCAAACCATTCAACTTGTTTGTCCTTTATTGACTCTTTCACTGGCTCCGACAAAAGACGTTTCCAAATGTGACCAAACCATGAGAGCGACAACTCAGGCTACTTCTGCTTTTTCGTCTTTTTGCAGGGCCAGTGAAACAATGAGCAAATCGCTGGCATAGCTCTGTTTGGTCGTTTGTGAAGCAGCTCATTCAGCCTCCGACAGCTTTTTTCCCCACGCAGTTATCTCAGCTCAACCACTTCAGTCTGACATGCAGTTTTGTTCACTTACCAAAATGCAAAATCAGCAGCGAACAGAGAAGTAAAAATGTAAATAATAAAAAAATAATAATAATCTATCACATACAGCTCAAAGAGGCTTATTTCCTGACCTGTGTTTTCTACGTAAACAATACCAAAACAAAAAGAACAATACATAATGAAGGCATGCCACAACATTCCATACATCCTCACCTAGACACCATTAACATGTCCAACCTAATCTTTTTTTCTCTTTTTTTTATTTACACACATTTGTATCTTTAATCCTGTTGAAGGTTGTTCACCTGAGGTGAGCTAACATAAGAAAAGCACCAAAAGTTGAACAATTCAGTGTTCACCAATGATTATGCCAGTGCTGGTTAAAGACTCAGCTCAAGATGCTACTAAGACCAAAAAAGAAATGATTTTTTTTCTGAATTAGCCACTTGGAGCTAATATTCACATACAATAGATAATCGTCAGATTCTTCGATTTGCCCGTTCTAAAATACTGCAAAAAGCAAATGGTTTCGATTCTCATTTCCGCTGGTGAGCAAGTATTGTGCATGGTGAGGGTCTCAACAGAACCAAAAAAGTGAAGATCATTTGTTGCGTGACAAAGGTCTGGACATACGTACCGTCGTTGATTTCATCGGGCTTTCTCCTCTTTTCATAGATAAAGATGATGGCCACCAGGATGATGACCTCAGCAACGATGCCCAGGAAGGGCCACAGAGCGGCCAGGCGGCTGCGGACACGCAGGTGGATTGTGTCGCTGTTCGTGCCAAGTTCGTTGGTCCCGCTGCATTCATAGTCACCCACATCACTTTCAATGCTCAGGTCACTGATGGTCAGACTGGTCTTGTTGGGAGTGCTCTTGATCTCGTATTTGGCAGTGGTGCCGTTGATGATAGGCTGAGGATCACGAAACCAGGTACCATTATTTTTAGGAGTCAAAATGTTTTGATCACTTTCAAAACTTGTATTTTTTAATGTTGACTGATAAATAATAATGTTCTGACACACACGTACCTCAAAGTCATTTTCTACCTTCTTGATCCAAGTCCAGTCAGTGGGAAATGGATAACCGTGGCTGTCACAGACCAATACAATTTTGTCATTTTCATTGCCATGCTCTGAGTGTTTGTGGGCAGAGACATGGGGAAGAACTGGAAAAAGAGCACATATATGGTCAAATGTACACATCTAAATTGAATGTGTGTCACAAAAAATGTATATTTAAGGTAGAAATGTTTCATTTCCCCTTATAAATTAACTCATTTAACATCATATTTTAGTGCAGAGAAGAGCAAAATATGCGATTAACAAACAGAAAATACGGTTGAATACAACTATGAAGCACGACCGAGTGTTTAAATGACCAAACTTACTTTTCACTTCAATTGTTTGCGTGACATTGGGGTCAGTCTTGAACACACATTCGTACTTTCCTGCAGTATGGTAGTTGATCTTCTCCAAACTAGTGGGGGAATAAAAGGATTGAAAAATTGACAGACACACTAATGGGGAATTAAGGTCAGAGAGTGTTCATACTGGTAGGGGCACAGCAGAGCTCCATGTCTACATGGTTGGATTCTCTGCTAATCGACAACAGCTAAACAATAAATAGAATACCCTGTAGCTTATGATGGAGGCAGAAAGTGAGAAAACACAGAGATGAAAAGGGAAAATGGACAATAAAGACTGAAATGCATGACAGGAAAATGCCTGGAGGGTGGTGATAATAAAAACAAGTAATATATGTCAAATGTTCTCTACAGCTTAAATTCTTATTCAATTTTTTTCAAACTCACTGGAAATAATGAGTATTTAAAAGAAAATATTTAGTGTTTCATTAACTGTGTTGCTATTTAAGAAGTGGTCAAAAACAGAAACCCTGAACAACAACAGTGCTCTATAAACCCAATAAACAATTGAATAGATTATGCTTGACAAGCACAGTCAAGAAGTGTGAGAAACACAGAATTGAACACAGAAAAACATGGAAACTAGCTTTGTTTAATTGCAAAGCCATAATATTAAAAAGAACTATATGTTTTTACACATGAAACTGCCAGGGCCACTTACTGCAGAGTTGTGTAAGGGACCGAAGCAGTGGAATCCGAATCCTTGACGAGTTTGCCATTGAGCAGCCAAAAGGACCCCTTAATGGGACGAGACGAGTCTGTCAAGTTGCAGCTCAGGACCGCTGTAGTCTGATTGTTAACCTCAGAAGGACTAGCAATGACGGTGGGGTCTTTGGGTAAAAAGAAGAAAAGAAAGACATTTTATTTTGTGACATTTTATGTGACACTCAACGGTTGCCTTTACATTATGTACAGTATATGGTTGGATTTTAACAAAATTATTTATGTGAAGTCAACCGTTGAGCAATGATCATAGAAAAAAATACTCAATGACAAATGAAAGCAACGTGGTTGCAATCTCTTCATTTCTTTAAACAAATAAAAAAAGACATTATTTCCATAAAAACACTAAAACTGAGGTATGTCTAGGAGTAGTACTATACACTACCAGGTGAAAGGATGGAGTAATATTTAGAAACACTTCAAAAGGAAAGGGGAGCTTCAGAAGTACATGCAGAGGGAGACAAGTTGCTGGTCAATTCTTTTTAAGCAGCATGACACAATGTAATACATTTATATTGTTATTGGTAAATGTAGCCACAACAAAAAGATAACTGAGAACAAAAAGTGTCCCATGGTTTTAAAGTTTTAATCTGAGAGAGCTCTCTGCATTAACCACACTGGAAGTCACCTAGGCTGTCACCTGCTGGATGAGATGTAGCCCTTGTCAATTATACTAGATTATTTACTAGAACTCACATACCTCCTTTCCATATGCTGTACATGTTTGCACACTAGCATTTGATACTAAAGAAAGGTCTATTGTACAAGTAATGTGTATAATGGAATGGTATGTGTGCATGTTTAGGGTATGATCTGGCTTTTGGCACCAAAATGGCTGTAGCATTGTTAATTGATTATCAAGTTAGGTGAGTGCTAAAGGCAAACACAATGTTGCAAGAATGCATCAATGAGCTAATCTGAAATATTTTGTAGTTTAGGGCTTAGTGCAACCGATACAAAGTGTTTATTTCCAACCATAATGACCAAAATGAATCCATTATAAATTCTCAATGAAATGTGGCAAAAAGCCATCAGACATGTTTTGTGTCAGAAAATACAGGATTAGGAGGGAATCTAAGCCACACTGTATGACCAGGTACTAGAGGACATCCTAAGATCTTTACGGGAAGGGAGGGAGAGTGCAACACTGGGTGAAGGACAGAGAGAACAATGAGGGGGAAAAGCATAAGGGCTACTTTTAGTGGGAGTTGAACTTCCAGGGACTTTACTATTGGGGCTAGCGTAGCCGAGCTGTTTTGGCTGGCATCGCCTTATAGTTCTCTGCCACTCACATTCAATCACAATAACGTTTGCCTGAGAACGGATCCACTTGATTTTCGGCGTCTTCATCATGGCATTGCGGTCAGGGTCGTTGGAAGCACGACATTCATATGTGCCAGAGTCATCTGGGGTGAGGTTAGTGAGGTGAAGGGTGCTAGTGGCGTGGGCTACGTATGTGGCGTTAATTAGCACACGGTCATCCCTTGCCCCATCAAAGAGGTGGGTGAAGGTTTCGTTGGGCTCATCACCTTCCACAAACCACCACTGCACCTCAGGAATTGGGTCACCTATCACCTCACAATGAAGCTCTGTGCTGTCATTAGTAAACTTTATCTGTGACAGGGGAGACTTGATAAATCCAGCTGACTCCAGTCAAGAGTCGGACCAAAAGGCATTAAGGAATTATGATATTGTTGCATTTGGTGAGTGTTTAAATGAGTTGATGAATAGGTGATAGCAGGCAGTGATGTGAGAAAGACAAAGTAAATAAGACAAAGACAGAAAATAAAACAATGTTAATAAGAAAAATAAAGGAAAATAAACATTTACTAGGGAAAATGGTGAGAATTTTGTCAGGTCACTGTGCTTAATGTTTTAATCATCACAAAAACTTTGACATGTGAGTGAAATAAATACATTTCTAAATTACATAATGGTGTGTCAAATACAAAGTGTAAAAACAGAAAAAACAGAAACATTAACATCGTAAATCACAAACCAAAAACTTTAATTATAGCTTTTTTGCACATGGAAACCAAGCCCAACTTTAATTATAGCTTTTTTGCACATGCAAACAAAGCTTTTTTTTAAACTGGGTGTGTGGCAACACGTTTGCAGTTGGTCAGTATTCTGGTTTCATTACCCAAACATTTAGAATTGAGTCAAAAAATTCCAAAATGTTTGACAGAGTGTGACTTCCCCCAACTAGGGCAGACTGGTGAAAATTATTATTATCATTATGGAAAATGTTGCTAATCAAATAAATGAATGACACAAAAGACACTGTTTTTAAACAGTAATCAGGGAAGATTGATCCAGTCACTCAGCTGTTGTTGGGTGGGGTGTTATCCACTCCGAAGGTTCTAAAGAAAAACATTTTCATCCATGCTCATGGTGAGGCTGATGGTGTAATGAGGCTCACCCACCATTTACCATAAAGGTTGCCTCCATGTGCACGATCAGAGAGCTGGGTTCCTACTGAGTTCTGATGTAAACCAGATGGCTTCTGATCATGAAAGAATATGCTTTGTAACAAAAAAAATATATCTTTAAGGCAGAAAGAAAATAGAATATGGAAGTAATTTACCCCTTATATGTAAAGCAGGTCTGCATTTTGCCATATAGAAAAGGAAAAGTGTAAAAGCCAAACACAGAAAGATAGCATGAGGTTAGTTTTATGCAAAGAGTACTAAATATAGCTTAACATGGCATGGTTTACCATTCTTTTTACTGGGTTTGTTTGACCGTTTTTCTTCAACCATGTTGTCGAAATTTAACAATAACTGAAGGAATGCACTCAGTCTTTTGGTATGGGGACAAACATTGATTGGTGTATTCAAGTATTTATTTCACACAGAACAAAGGCAGCTCAATATACTGAATTCTCCACAATCACCTACAAAAAAATTATAAAATAAAAAAATATATATAATTAAAATACTTTATTCTGTTTAAGAGTATATCAACTGCACATTAATGGTGTTCATCTCCATCATGGCAGCTAAACCGTGTCAGGCAAACTGATTAAGTCAGTTTAGGCAAAATATCGCTTTTGAAGGGGCGGGGCAGCTTAGTTTAAATTTAAGTAAACAACCAAACAGCTTTTCTTGTTTAAGCACCCGACAAACCTGTTCGTTTGCTTTGAAAACCTACTTTCTACAGTTAAACTGAAGAAGCAGCTATACTAAGGAAATCTGATTTAACTCATCTACCCAAGTGTTGTTCCACAGCCTACAGACGGGATTGGATTCGACGCGAATGCTAGATATGCACCGAGCACTCAATCGATAAGACTACTTCCACATGACACGACATTATCTACAGTTAAGTGTCAGTTGATGTGATAATTTCTCCGTCACGACACGGTTTCTATGGACAAACAAAGCACTATTTTCATCTTCTCTCTTCATGTTGGGTCGTCATTCTAGTTAGGATTTAACGCGAATGATAGAATAGAAACAGCTCTTGTTTGAAAAGCCAACATCCACCCTTCCCCCAATAACAAACATTACAGTTGCTGTAATTCTTGAGCCTTTTTGATCATTAATCGTGCTCCAAAGCACAAATATATGAACGTGTATTATCAGTATCCACTAAACCTGAATAGCCTTACGCAACAATAACTTCGTTAGGGCACAGCTGTTACACAAACACGGCGAACCACAATTTATTTAACACCACACGTTCTGAAATTACTGCAAATACAACCACAATATGGCGAACACATCGTTTTGAGAAGCGCATCGACGACAACGTTTAAATAACGAGGTGTAGTCGATGCAACGGCCCAACAGCCATAGCAAAAATGTTTAGCTTAGCATGACCGTTAAAGCCTAATATTGCTTAACGTAATGTGAAGGATACATTTGAATACTATATTAAACGTATCGATTTTGCATCGATACTGCTGCCACGGGCTCATAAATATAAGCCTCGTCGTAGACATTTTTTTAGTGTTCGAAGTAAGGACAAAGTCTACAATTGTAACCAACATGGCTGACACAGAATTCTTACCTGTGGACGCGCTAGCTCGCCAACAGCACACCAGAAGGGCACACGCAGCCCACAGCAACTTCATGATTATTGATTTGCGAATAACAACGTCGTTGAATTATTATTATGTCGAATTAGTGGGGCGAATTATGCCCCTCTTATTCTGGCCCCGGCGAACTTCCAGCGAAGGCTGTTGGAGTTAAATGTTCAACAACCGAGGCGACGGAGCTGGATGTCCTCTACAAGCAGCTCACGCATACGCCCTGAACAGCACGTACACTTGACGTAAGCGGTATGGGCGTGGTCACACCATAATCAGCCGCACGTACAGTAGAAACGTTTAATCCTTTTAAAACTTTTTCTTGAAATATTATGCAACTAAGTTAAATACACACTTACTGGGAAATTATTTTCTTCAAAAGGCTGCCTACATTGAATAGATCATTATAGGAACAACAGAGTGATTTTTAACAACGATGTGAAGCAATGCCTAAATACCTCTCTAAAATAATTTTTAAAAAATCGCTGTTAACGCAAACAAACAAAATAATCTTTTGCTAGCTAGTAATAGAATGTCAATCTCTGTATTTTCAGAATAGAAAATATGCATTTGTATGTGTGTTGCTTTACTGGATAAGTTGTAAACCTGGTATGGAATATTACATGTAGACCACATCCTGGAGAGTTGCAGGGTCAATGACCACAGATGAGCAGAGTGGAAAGGTGAAAATGGGTAGTCATATTAACAACTGGAATACTTAAAAATATAGCCTACACAGCAATTCAGACCTGGTGAATAAGGTTTTCTAATTAAAACGGAGATCATTCGATTCCTGGTAAATCTTGCCATACTTAAGTCAGTTAATTTCAGGAAAAAAAATATACAGGTTGTTCCTGAAGACTGCTGTGCTCAAAAGGCTACTTCTTTAAATGATTACATATAATTAAACAGAAAGGTTAGTTCCTGATAAAATGTGTTGAGGCTGGTTAACAGTATGTTCGCTAATGGGTGGATAACCTGCAACACATTTTTACATCATGCAGGCAAACTCGTAAGAACAATCTGAACCATTCGTCTCTCAGCTGGGACATAACAATAATCACATCAAAAGAGGCCTTTGAAACCTAACCCCAAAGGAGAGGTGAGGTACAATGTGGAGGAAATACACCCATGTAGCTGAACAATTAAAGGAAGCTGAAAGTATTAGCTTATTCTTAACATTTTGCAAGAAAATGCAGCATTAAAGGATTTAGTATAAGCCATTTCCTATCAGGTTGCCTTTGAAAGTACAGTACAATCTGCAAACTATATTATCCATTGAACTCACTTCCAGTAGTGTTGATGCTCTTATTGTTCCCTGTTCGTAGGTGCTGAGGTGCCTAGTGAGACTGAATAAATCATACTGGAAAAAATGGAGGAGAAAAGCTAGGGCTATAATACAACTTATAACCTCAGCGCTGTTCTCATTAAATTGAATTAATTAACATTTTAGTAAATCTGCAAGAGGAAAAAAAATTTTAGGAAAAGAAACATTTTTACTGCCACTTCTCCATCGTTTAGTCTAAAAACATTTACACAAAATGATACTGTAGGAAAATTATTTAGTTGAATTTTGAGTGGTAGTACCCAAATATCTTTATTTCAGTTTCAGTTTATTACAAGATTATTATGCAAATAAATCATTTTCAACCAGCAGCTTTCAAAAACATTTCATCTTAAGTTAAAATGCACTAAAATGTCATAGTGTAATTGTATGACAGTAAAGACAGATACACGTTAAAGGTTTGAATGTAAAACCAAATTAAAAGTATAATTTATATAATGACTATCCACAACACTAGCTAGCATCAGCACAACATTACCGCAAGTTGACACCTTGTCATCATCAAGTGCAAAGAAAATCTGAAACTTGTGTGATGTCAGGAAACCACGAAAAGTAAGGTTTTCGATTATTAAACAAATCTATAAATTACTGTGATTTGTTTGTATTTAAAATGAAGGAAACAAATGCAAAGTTTCTAAATCATGTTGGAGATTTATTGGCACAACTAGGGGTTGTTCACATAAAGCATCTTCTTTGCACCCAAATTCATAGGTTCTAAGAGTTTTTCTCTACACACACCAAACAGCCAAGGATGATCAGGGGACTACTATTTGTAATTTTTAAGTTTTTTTTAACTTTAGTAGATCTGGTTAACTTTGTGTTGCCATAGCAACTTTAGAGATGTTGATTGTTGTCACCTTTACAAGAATGTGACCCCCAATATCTTCACCAGGGTTGACCAACTAGATTTGTCAGAGGGCCAGAATTTTTCTAGACAGACACCTTTCAGGCCGAACAATCAGATAAAATGAAATAAAAATCACACTTTTGTCTAACATTATTATTATTATTTGAGGTTTATTTTGAAATCCTATCAGAAGCTGGATAGGATGGTTCAGTGGGCCAGATTCAACGCACAGCTGCCAGTTGATAATTACTTATCTTCACGTTACAACGAAATTTAATTTTGTGTTTTTAGATGTATATGCCAATGGTCCTGTCAACTAGACAACAGTGTTAGGTCATCTGAGAGATATAAATACTAACTAAAAAAGGAAAAACTATTTAGAATTACCACCTAAAGTGTCATTTTAAATCACAACAATTCGGTTGATTTAAAAAAAAAAAACCAGCAACAGTCAAGTCCTGAGTCCTCTGCCTCTACTTTTTTCTGTTCCCTGTAAAAGGCGAGCCTCTTGAAGGTTTCACGCTTCTCCACATCTTCCCTGAGAGAAGCTATACTCCATGGCCTCTTGCGCCCTTTTGTTCAGACTCATAATGAGAGTCAGAGCACCAGTAAGGAGCTCCTATCACTTACCCCTGAGTCGGGCTTGAGTGCTCCTGGCGAGATGTACTCAGGTGTCTACCCCAGGTCAGGGAGAAACAGGAGGTCACCACTCTGACGTCAAGCCACCAAGGAGCTGTGAACAGCTCTTAGGGTTATGAGGAAAACTGTTGCCTAAGAGTTATCAGTGGAGTTCTCGTTGCTGGTTGAACTTGAGGACTGAGGGGTAGAGGAGGATGAAGATGAGGAAGAGGAGGAGGATGAGGAGGTAAAATTTATCCCTGATAGCGGTGGAGGATTTGTCGCTGTGTTCTGTCCACTCAAGCTTTTTCTGCACACAGGACAAGTGTCATGCTGGAAAAGAAGATAGAAAAAAAAACAAGACTTTTTCCCTTTGATGTTTCCACATAGAGCAGTTGCTTTTGGCTGTTTAAGAAAGTGTCAATAGAAGACTAAACAACCAGTACCTGTTCTAACCAGGGGACTATGCAATCATTGTGAAACATGTGATTGCATGGAAGCTGCCTCACGTTCTCTCCAACACTGTAATCTTCTTTACACACAGGACATTCCAGTCCTGAAGCTGTATCAGAATATTGTGAAAAAAAACATTGTAGCTCACATCATGCAGTGTTGTTATTCTGTTAAAATAATATGCAAAGATATAGGATACACAGACAATGATTTATTTATATTAATCAGTAGCGTACCGTAAAGCCCAGCAAGGCCTTCTCTGCCAGCCTAATTACTATCAGAATTAGTGGCTAATTTTTCAATATATTTATCATGAATTATTATAAAATAATACAGAGTATTCTATTCATTCATTCACTCTCTTGACTACTCTTGGTAGCGCTGATTCCAGACGTGTAGGGTCAAGTTTTTTTTAGTTATCCAATCATATTTCAGCCTCGTGTTTCCAGGTTGAACCAAATCTGCTGTAAGACTCGCAAGAGTTGGCTTTGCACATTTCTGCGAAACACAATGTTTTCACAGCAGGCAGACAGATCTCAGCAAAACACAGAGCACTCTTTGTAGCTTGAGAGCGCTGCCTTCATGTAAACTAGATTAAGCCTCACCATAAGTCATGTAATACTTTTACAGGAAATTAAAACAATTTTTCTAGAGCTCACTTACCAACATGCTCATCTGTGACTACTACTGTTGGAAGACTTTTTATTTTATCTCTGTCAGCTGGAGGCGGCCCTGTGTTCTCAAATTGGTTTAATAACTGTGAAAAGAAAAACAAATCATAGCTATAATTTGCATTATGCACAGAGTCTAAATCAAAACCATTATTAACTCAATAACAAAAGAAAGGTGTGACAAATACCTGTGTTATAATTGCATCTAGTCCATTAGCACCCCAGGCATAATCCATTGGATTTGAATGTAGAACACCCCTTTAAAAAATAAATAAATAAAATTACACAACTTTCAACATGTTTTAGGTAAATTACAACTACGTTTTAAAAACTCACCATGGCCCCACACCAACATTTGGAATTGCAGTTGGTGCAATTATGCCATTTACTAGCTGCTGAATAATTCTACACAAGACAAAACACAAGTAAAATATCGATGTTAACCAGTTTATTAGCAATGAAGAGACCATCTCCATAAACCAACCACACATATGTGATCAGTGCCATAGGTCACAGACTGTGTTTCTCACCCCTCTAACGTTGGTACTCCTTCTGGCCTTCCAGCGTACCGCCTGGAACCGTGACGACTTCTCGGTTGCCTAGCACCATATGGTTGTTGTATTGGCGTTTCAATTCCTCTCTGGTTTTCCGCATTCTGGTTAATCTCTGGAGTCAGTCCAGACCCAAATTCAAAGCTGTCAAAGACACCTAGGGCAAAGTGACCGTAGCCCGATGGGAACGTGAGCAAGTGGGGATCTGCGTTCTAAAGGAAGTAAAGAAAAAAGGGAGAGAAAGGTCCTTGAGCAAAAATTAAAATTAAATTTAAAAGCAACACAGCAATTTATTTTTTAAACTATATTAACATTTATCTACAGTAAACCAAAGACATTGTATTTACAGATAGACTTAACAGAACTTGGTCAGCCTATTTGTTTTAGAAACAACTCAATGCAACACATATAGCATGGTGCTAAATATAATAAATGACCGTGAAATATCCACATTGTTAGAAGAAGTTTAAGTAAAGAATGAATGAGAAACCTCAAATGGTTGTTGGTTCGGGAGCCCACTGGAGATTGATGACATGGAGCCATTGTCTGCACTAAACAGGGAAGAGATCAGTCACAGGTTATTTGGAGAATGTTTTGATCAAAGGTATTTTTTTTTGTAACCAGAGGTATGACCATTCTTAACAATTACTATAGGACTTATCACTGTACTGTTTTTGTTACCCTTGCAGTCAATATGTGGCCCTTTTTTCTTGGTTTCAATTAAAGTAAGGGTAACTGTGGATTAATCACCATTAATTGTGATCACTTTTTAAAAAACATTTATATGATTAATCATGATGATGAAACACTGAAAAAGATAACATTATATGCAAGTCGGACTGCCAAATCATCCAAATTTTTAATTTGACTAGTCACAAGGTATCAGTGGATTAATCACAATTAATCATGGTTAATTGTGATTGTAATAGTTACTAATTACTGAATAGTTTTCCTCAGGCTGCATACCTTTAAATATAATAAACATACCTTCTTTCTTCAAGAAGCTCCTCAATGAATCCGGACTCACACCGTGGGCATGTATAGTCCTGTAAAGAATACAATGACAAAGTTAGGCTGAACTGGATAGTAACATGAACAATGTCATTATAATGCCATTATCAAAATATCCCTAAATAGAATGTTTATTTACAAACCAAAATACGGATATACATTTGTGCTCCCAGGGAGGAAAATACATTGGGTTTCACATTTTTAATTTTTTTAATTAATTGATTTGGCATTTATTTATATTGGTTAACATATTTAGAAAAAAGATCAACTGGTCTTACAATACAACGGCCTTTGTTCTAAACTGCTTTGTATATCATAATAAATTATATCTTAAATGTTTAGTCAGTACCCCAGTTGTTTATTATTTTAATAATACGTTTCATTATTACGGAATGACACCTCGTAAACATTTTTGGGTTCGCATATCTTACTGTATTTATTGTTAATATAATCTGCTCATCGGTAATCGGTTTCATCGATCGGTCCCATAACCCCATAATATTTACAACTTGACACACATAGCCTGGTATATAAAATATATATAAATATTGAAACAACTACTAGGCCACTGATTGACTTCATATAACAAATAGGTAACAACACGAGCAAAATATCTATTGATGTCACCTGTCAGTAATGTGTGGCTGCAACATCACATCGCGAAAAGGCTGAGGCATTTTTCAGTGACAGATCATTCTAGTGCGTGACAATCGGGGCCACTTAACTGAATAGCTAAACAAAAAATGGACCGACGAAGCACTTGTTTCCACTGAAAATGTCACAATAGCGTTGTTATTGGTTAGAAACAGCCCGAATGTACAAACACATCTTGTTAAATAAATTAAAAGGGTATTTTGGAACGCTGCTGGACGTATGTTTAAACCTTTGCCTGTTAGCTTATTTTAATAGCAACAACCTTTGTAAAGCCGTGACTGTCAGCAGAGGATTGGAATTACAAAGGTTACAATTTGTACCCCAACATTTACACCGCGTTTGTACCAAATAAATAGTGAGTGTTTACGTTGAGGTCGACCCATTACACAGATAGCACACGAATTAACAGTGAATAGAGCTAATGAGCTAAACGGTATCTCGCTGGGGTTAGCTAATACCGCTAGCGACTAACAGTCTACGTCCCTGCTCTAGCGATTTTTATTAATATCTCAACAACATAACCTATTTTACTATGAGCAAGGGTGTGTTTACCTCTGCCCTTTGACTACAGTACTTACCGGGAGTCGAGGACTAATCTCTGCGGAGCATCTGTGACAGAAAAAACGCCTGGGCCATGGAGGAGCCTCTGCCATCTTTACTCACTAGACAGCAAGAGATGACCAACTACGGCAAATCAGAATGGACAATCCTCCTAAATAATACAACGGCCCGGTGTCTGCGCTGCACCGTACACAATAATACACTATTAAATGCGGTGTACGGCTGTATCTAAAACCACAGGACGATAGTAAAATATATGGAATATTACTGGAACAACCACGCTGTAATTAAACATTACAGTTACACATACTTTCATCGCACTTCTTATAATTGTTATGGACAATCCATACCTTTCTTTAACGTTTTTTCTTGTCTTTGTTCATACATACGTTAGCCTTTTACGTGTGTACAAAGCTAAAATTCGGAATTCCTGGCATCTTAACGCATTTTTGACCTTTTGACAAATTTTAATATTTTTAAAAAATAATTTATATTCATTTTTACGTTGAAGCAATTGCCATAATTGCTTCAACGTAAAAATTATTTACCAATATAAACCTATTTATTTCCGACACTTAATAATTGTGTGTTATAAAATACTGCCACATGGTGGTGCTTTTGTGTGTAAAGTGTTAAAGAGTATCACTGAATTTCTCTTGGTAGATGTTCAGCACGGTCTCGATAAAATAGAGTCGATAAGATATTTATTCTGTTTACTCTGACAAATTCAAGGTGTTCATAATTTATATTTCATAATGATGAAATAACTCAAAGGATGTGAAGAAATAAAGAGCTGGATAAACCCAAACAAATGCGTATTGTTTACTACCATACATTTCTTCAGTTTCTTCACTGTCAACAACACGTGTTTGATCTCTGCAGGTTCTCCCACTGCCCTTAAATCTGAGGAGTGTTATTTCAATCTGGCATTTTTGACACATTATTTTCCACTGGATTCCTGTCAACCACTTCTTAACCTGCAACAGATCTTCGGAAAAGTCGTGTAACATCTGTTTTTAAAGGTTAAGATTCTCAAGAAAGGTGGATTCATTTTTCCCGAATATGTTGACAGCAGTTATTTGGCATTGAATATAATACAAAAAAATAAAATAAAATAAGAAGAAGCAAACACAACCCTAATTGTTGAAGTGCAGCCAAAATAACACAAAATAACACTTTATACTAGGAGATGACTGACATATTCTGTTTCCATGTCCATTTTAATTTTAAGATAATTATTATTTCATCCTTCAAATATTCTCAATGTTATCTCCGTAGCTGCAGTTTGACTGCTTAACTGTTTTGAGTACCTGCAGTTCTTGGTGTAACATGGGGAGGCTGGGTGGGAGTTCCCCTCCGATTGCTCGACAACCAATCACAACTCTCAAGACATCTGGCTAGATTTTATCACATAAATGTCCACTTTTGTTGTCCAAGTAATAAAGCATTATGTGCAACCCGTTCAAAAGGTGTTTTATTAATGTAGTGTTTTGATTAAACACATGGAAAAGCCATACCATATCTTGCAAGCCAGGTCATCCTCTGCTTGGTGGTCATATTAAGCAACAGAATATTTTCTGGTAAGGTGGAAAAACCTTTAAGACAGCAATAAAAGTATAAAATCTCGCCACAAGCAAACTCATGAAATAGTGTGACCTCCTTGGACCAGTGTTGTGTCTGATAAAGCCACGTGGGAGAAGGGAACCGTGTGCTGTCCCATGGGCTCAGATTAGAAGGATCTGATAGCACTGGGGTTTGCTATGTCTCCCTGGCCTGAGGTCAGCTGTTGTCTAGGGAATGAGTGACTGGGAGTCAGAGACAGGTCATGTGAGCCACAGGAAAAAAAACTCCTATCCAGACCAAGTGACCTTTCACGATCTATAATTTGAGATCACGCCAAATAACTTCTGATGTAGTAGACTTAAAACAGAGTATTGCAATGTTTGGAATGACAAATGCATTGCTATATTAAACATTTGACTTTCATTACAGTACAATATTATTTATGATGTGAGAGATAATGAGTGTCACAGACAAGGCAGCAGACTGATATGTTGTAAGTGACACTGCTGCTTTTGCCGCCACATCATTTTCCGGACACTCCAATTGGGACTACTCCACTTAATCCCATGTGGCCTCTCAATCAAAAACAGACACACATAGACAGGCATTCAGTTACAATAGAGCCCTGGCCTTTTGGTCATGTGCCACTTGTTTTCAGTCTATCTCATTGAAGGTCCTTGTGTCTCCCAGACACCCTCTGTCTGAGGCAGCCAGTCACAAGACCAGTGCACCAGGCACTCTCCCTAGCACCCACATGCTTATGTTAAAGAGGTCCAAGTACAAACAGCAAGGGAGGTTATGAATATTAACACGAAAAGCTTATAAAAAAGAGAGAACCCAACACAAACACTTCGTCTATAGTATACTTGTTTTTGAAAAGCATATTTGATGTTCCGTGCGGTGTTTTTCCGCTCAGCTTCTGTTCCAGATCAAAATTCCTCAGTACTGCGTTGGCACGGAAAGGGTATGGGATTACATCACATAACGCGGCTACCAACGAATACATGTTTCTAGAGGAACATATGGACGCAATTAGCCACCCAGTTTACACCGTCTTTGTTTTGTCTGAGGAACTGTGGTTGGTTAGTGCAGATTTGTCAACAGCTTTCATTATTGAGTCATTGTTTCATTAGGAGGTCCTGAATATATCCTGAAGTGTTATTACTTTCTAATTTTACACATTTATTGACAGATTTTTATGACCTAGTTTTGAAATAAATATTGGAATTTTAAGTAGTGCAACACAACTGTAATATTAAACTGTATGTAGATAAACAGTCCACACTTGTCCCAAGGTTCCAGGGGAGGATGGGACCATGGTGACCCAAGGCAGAACAGTATATTAAACAAAATACTGCACATAAAATATGATAAAGATGCAAATTATGTCATGATGAACAGCCTGAGTGTTCTACCAGGAACATTTTAAGACCACCCACACCTTTTCATATTAAAAACAAAAAAATCAAAATGGGACAAATCTCAACAAAAACACCCCACCAGCCACTCAATCTAAAAGAAAGAAAATAACACGTGTACTAAAGGTAACATTTCCTGATACGATGTGACTATGTATGGATTATTTTGGCTCTCAGTGTGTGTGTGTGTTAGACTGTCTCTCTGTGTAGTTTTGTCTCCACTGTGTAGGTTTTTGTGTGTGAGGACATTTTGCGTGCACACGGTGTATACAAACATGTGTTGTTGTGTCTCCGTGTTTGTTATTATTTTCATGGAGTTGTTCAGTCTCACAGCCTCCCAGCACACACTAAACACGAGTGGAGTCTCGAACAGAAAGACACGGATGCAGTTAATCATGCAATCTAGAACTGATCAGCAGTCTGTTTACAAGACGTGCTGCACTGCAGACCAGGGGAATAGATACCATATGGGCCTCTAGAGTTCATTTCTGGTACACTGTTCTGTTTAGTAAGCGAATGGTGGCCAAACCAATGATTTGACTAAGTGTCTTCTGGTGAATTTAGTATCTGTTAAGCTGGATATAACTTACATCTCACCTCATAAAAATCCCCCCAAAATTCCGAATAAATAAGCAGGTTTCTTCACCAGGAGGGTTTTTCTGACTGAAACCCACCTGAAAGTCTGATATGGTCATGGCTTGGTGTTCTTCCAACTGTTATACACAAGACAACAGCACCATAGGTCTCAATTTGAATTAGTCAATTGCCCAAATGGTGCACAAAATCACGTGTGGCTTTTAAACCATAATGGAGTAATAAGCCTCCCAGGAAGGCACTCTTTCTCCACACACTTACATATACAATATATACATATACATATGTACATATTACGTGTAGTAAAATAACCCACATTTGAGATTACATTACATTATTAATGTTCGACTAGACCACACACCACAAAATCCGGCCCACTTGATGAATTTTGAAAGTTCATGTTCGTGATGTTTTGTCAAATTATATTTCATTAAATCTGAAAATGTTCTAATATAGTTGAAGATATTTGCAGGAAAACAAACATGGACTTATTGTTATTTATAGGTAATTATGTTATGATTGTACTGGTTCGGCCCACTTGTAATCAGGCTGTATGTGGGCCCTGAACCAAAACAAGTTTGACACCCATACATTAGACACAAACAAATACAAGTTTGACACCCATACATTAGACACAAGTGACTTTAAACAAAATGATGTGATGTGGTGTGTCTATAGATAGGCAAGAAGGTTAAGGTTCATGATATGCATTAGCAACATGTTACTTACACTTACCTCAGGGTGAATTTTCACACAATATATATATTTATATAAATGCATGCATGTAAATATGTGGCATTTAGCAAACATTATCTGTGATCTGTGAAACATAATGAACAGAGTGTGGGATCTGGTGTCGGCTTAATGATCAGCTGTCAAAGTTAAATATCAGGCTCAGGCAGACTGTTGTGTTACTGAGGAAGTCTGGGAAACAACGTCCATGACATGTTCTGATGAAGTGATAGATCATATGTCTATTAGTTTCAGATGTAAGACAAAACAGTTTACAATCCAGCGGCGTGATCCAAAGAGTGGGTGGTCCCCCTAAAGACTCCACTGAGCCTGGTTCCATCACAACATGGTTTCAGATCCAACTGTTGGCTGTTAACTTACTGGAAGTCGTATAGCACGTTCGCTGAATTCATGCCATGTGGACGCAGTTGAGAAAGAAGCGTGACATATCAAAGCAGGGTGATTACGCACGTCGGACATTTCAGTGTGGGCGTGACAGTAAAGCCCCATGTGTTTTTCAAGGACATAAACAACTGCGCCAGAGGTCCTGATGTCATGCGCGTGACTGATCCCATACTCATTACAGGTGAGCCTCGGCAAGTGAGATGCTGTCACCCACTCACTTTAAAATACACGCAAACAAATACGAAGGAGACGTAGGGAGACATCTGTGGCCACACCACAAACCATAATACTGGGGGAAGGAAACTATAAACTACTGAGTAAAGTGGGCAGAGAATTCGTGAGGCATCCTCCTCATGTGTAATTAGAATAGTTTGCGAATGGCTCATAGGTTTACACTGCGGTCGTGCTGTTACTACCACTCGTACGACAGAGGTGCGTCGTATGCGTGGTCTCTGTGAGGACTTCGTGGCAGCGGAACACATGTTTCTGCTGAAGGTATTACACAGTCATAATGACAACAGCAACTGGGATTGTACGTGTCTTGAACAACAAGTATCTACAAGGACACTTTGTCCACACAACAGAACTAAAATATATATTTTTTTTCCAAGGCCTTTGTTGTTTTTCACAGGAAGATATTTCGGACTTGGCCCAATCTGTTGAAACAGTAAAAGGGAGTTTTCATGAAATCATCTTCTTTTCAGGGTTGCAGACAGAGCTGGAACCAATCCTGAAACAGTCGCTGGGTGAAATCTGGATTCATCCTGATACATCCCAGTCCATCACAAGGACACATATGGTGACATTTAACCATCCACATTCACACACACACTTATGGTTATTTGGACTGGAAAACCCCATAGATAAAATCCAAACAAAATGAGATTAAGTGAGTTCTGTGTATGTGCAGATACTATGAACTCATAATTAATATTAATTAATAATAATATATAGGTTTTGGGTTTTGACGTCTATGTATTTATAAACAGGCTAATCCAATCTAATAACCAACTATTTAATAGATTTTATGGTACTTTATATATATATATATATATGTATGTATATATATATATATATATTTAAACAAAACAAGTATTTTAAAATAAAATTGAGCATCAACTAAAATAATCATAATGTATTTGGTCCCACTCACACATAGAAGCTTCTAACATGTGCGAAGCTGATAACAGCTCCATTATTTCATACGGTTATGAATCCCAATCAGAGAATATAAAAACCATACATTTCTGAACACAGACAGTTCTGTGGGTGGACAAAGCAAACTCCTTTCAGTGGCATGGTTACTTGCTTCCTTCGACCTAACATATCATCCAATGCCATTCCCAGTGTAATAAAAGTGTACTTGGACAGGAATATAAACATCTCCCTAAAGTTGAACCAGATGCTGGAACATGACAATGTGCAGGATACACAAGTCGGCGAGTGAGCGAGAGAAAAACAAAGCAGGAACCCCACACAAGAAAGTGAATCACGGCCCAGGACTCAGCACCTCACAGCATTTACTTTTCACATTTATATATAAATATTCTTTTGTCTTTCATCCTCATGACCCTGAGTCTGGGCTGGGGAACATCTTTGTAGACGCAGAGGAATAAATCTGTCATAAACCTAGTTAGATGATAAAACTTGACCCACTACTCTGGACCCCAGATAGAGAGGAATGTAGTACAGTTTCCACTTGGCTGCAAAAATATACTCATCTAACAGGATGTAGTCACAGCTAGAACAGTGACACAGTTAACAGAAAAACAAGTATTAATAAATGATTATTCTTCAAACTGCGTGTTCAGGGTTTCCTAAAGGCTTTGAGGTGTTTTAGACCAAAAGGTTCATAATAACTTCATTAGTTTAATATAGCAACATTTTGAATTTTTTTTTAAACTAATATACTCCGCCGTTCTTGGGCCTCAACCTTAGGCGACCAATTGCAAATCACTCCTACAGACATAGACCTATGACCTCCAGATGTCATCAGAGCTCCAATGACTTCATTTATCATTTAAATAAATATATATATCTTTTAATTAGCCATTACTAACTTGGAAGGCTTTGTGGGTTGCAAGAGATTTTTTTTTTTTTTGGGTCGTCTCGCATCATGTTTTCCAGGAGTTTACGAATAATGTCTGTTGACTTGGGTCGTGAAGGTTTGTGACCTTTAAAATATGGGTCCACAGAAAAAAAGTTTGCAAAACACCGGTGCAAAAGCTTTGATTTCTGTTCTGTTTGTTTTTATGTATATTTTTTATTAGACTTTTTGTCATTTCCATTAATGTGACAACAATGTCAGGCTGAAGATATTTTGTTTAATACGGTCACTGCTTGAATAAGTCACCGTATAAAACCCTCCATAAATATTTTCCTACTTGGTGTCGTCACTGTGGTTTGGGCTGCGCTCACACACAGAATGCACGTCACCCTATTTCCCACAGTGCAGTGCAACTGATAAAACTATTATAACTTTTTAAGTGCAACTGATAAAACTATTATAACTTTAAGTTATAACTTAACTTAAGTGTATCTTAGTGAATCTATATTTAAACAACAGGTTATCTCCCTTACAGACTGTATTGATAAATGAAAAGCACCGGTGATTGTGATTGGTCGTTTGGTTTGCAAAAGAAAGAGGACAAACTGTGACAAACATTAAACTTTATGTTGTTTGTGGCAAATTAAAAAAAATACAAAAATAGGCTGATGCGTTTATCATCCAGAGTTCACAGTGGGTACACGTGTGAGTACCAGGGTTATTTACACACGAGATATTGAAATGTTCAAACAGTTCATGTTACACACACAATATTATTCAACAAAGCTAGAAATCAGGGTTTGATGATTGAATTTGTATGTGTTGCGTCATCACTTTCTCCTGAACTTTCTCTAATATCTGATAAATTAAACATTTCAAGAGGAATGAATCTGGATTTAAATGCCAAAAAACAAAATAACAAATGAAACATTCAGTCAAAGCAGTAAAACAGCACTGGAATAAAACCAGCATGTCATCTCAAAGTGGATTACCAAAACAAAGCCAAGCATTCAGCAGAGGAGGTATTGTCAACGGTTTGGGATTGAACCAACACAGCCAATCGGATCATTTTAGGGATGAGTGGTGGCCGCCAGTTGGGTTTGGGCTCCAGGGTAAACTGCGAGGAGGTTGAGGTAGGGCAGGGTGGGTTGTTTAGGCTCAGCCGTTTCCTCACCTCCCAGACTAAGGCTTATGTACATACAGCACAGCTGTTTCTGCTGTGCTCTCATTTGTGGTAAATTGAAACCACATTAGCAGACCATGATGTGGTTTGAAGTTTCCAAACAAATTAGCATTGCTTTCCATCAGCTTAAGAGGGAAAGCTTGTTGTTTGTGCAGAACGGAGACTGTGAAAACTGCAAAAAAAAAAAAAAAAGTAGGATACCGTTGCCAGGGACCACTATTGTATGTACACAATAAACAAAACACAATAAATACACACATTTATTTGGCTTCAGCTTCCCCAAAGATTAAGGCAGTTACTACTAAGATAAAAACATAAATAGAGTTTGCTACCTTCTCCAATAAATAGTAATAGGAATTTATTTACAATATGCACACTTCTCCCAAAGAGCTGGTTGGATGTTCTGGCCCTTGAGACACACGCTCTGCTGCAGCCTCCGAGTTCCTCGCTAGGTGATAAGAACTGACAGAGTGTCTTCCATGTTGCTTTTTACAGGCGGTAGAAGGTGTGAGAGGTCATTGTGGAAAGCTAGTGGTGGATCCACTCATTTAAAAAAAACACAAAACAAAAAAAAAAAACAGACACAAATTTTCCCTTTAGAGTGCATTCTCCTCACTTCCGTCGTAGAGTTGAGATTTCCGAGGAGGATCTGCAGGAAATCAAAACATGACATTCATTTTCACATACACGTGGTTAAGTAGTAAACAGGATCAAGTGGAGGCGGTTGTGTGTTCTTACTGCTGCAGTGGCCGTAGTGGCGCACTCCTATGGAGCGGCCGAGGAAGCAGGTGGCCCGGCGCAGGTGGCAGGCGCTGGGGTACGTGATGTTGTCGTTGCCACAGATTGGCTGCTCTGAGGGCATGGGCAGCGGGCAAGGCGTGGTACGGCACATGACGCAGTGAGCGCTGTTGGTCTGGTCGATCACACAGCTGTGGGTTCCCGGACACACCACGTTGGAACAGGATTCTGTGAGAAAGTACAAGGTAGAGAACGTAAGAGCAGCGGGAGCTGTAAACGTCTGATTTGGTGAATCAAATGCCGGTCTTACTTTTGCATTCGCCCTGGTACATGATCTCCAGGTCTGGATGTCCCATGCAGCGGGCCAGCAGCAGAGCACACTCATCCTTGTACGTCTTGCCATCGCTTCCACAAACAGCGTGCTTTTTGGTGATGTTAGAGCAGTCAGGAGAGCACACACACTGGGGCCTTCCCATCATCACCGTGCACACCTTCCCAGGACTGCATTTGACTCCGTCACAAGTCTCTACAAAAGCCCACAGAGTGGTATGGTGTCTGTGAGAAAGCACTGTGAAGTATCTGCCTAGCGTTACTGCAATAACAAGTATGCAGACATCAGGTGACCCACAGGCATTTTCACACAAAACACGTTTGTAATCTGGGGTTTTCCCCAGACAGTAAAACTTTTTTTTTCACCTCGCACAATATTTACAATAATCACATCTTTTATTGACCTTACACAGCAGGCTGCCTCATCGAATGGAATGTGGGGCCTCTGTGTTTTTATAACAAATTTTTGAGTACGGCTGCACACAGTAAGGCTCCAAGGTAGACGGATAGCTGTCAGAGAAGTCTGCAGACTGAGAGGCAAAGGTGCCGCAGGCTTTTGAATGCACGAAAAGAATAACAATTCCATGAAATGTTGAGACACTGGAGATAATGAAAAATAATCACGCAACACACCCCATAAAACAGTACCTGCTGATGTGGAGTCCAGCAGTCTGGACATATTTTTTTTCTTTTAATTATAGCTCTATTTTATCACATGTATCACTGCATTTATCATCAGCAATTTTATACAGTTACTACTGTATAAATGGCTGAGTTTGGTTGACTGACGTTGATGCCTCCCTCTCCATCCATTCATATACATTACATTATTGATGTCAGATTTTGAATTTTACGGCGTGCACTTTTATAAATCACAGACATTTGGCCACAGGTTATTGGTTCCAGTCTGCTGGAAAATATTGCGTTGGTAGGAGATTTCGTTTTAACAGGCTTTGGAAAGAGGTAACGTTAAATCAAAAAGTGAGAGAGGGGAGAGCAGTACAAAAGGATTCTAATTTAACATGCTTTAGTCATTTCCAAAGTAAAAAAAATGAATGGAAAATGGAATACAGATGATCTCCGAGCTTTATTCAAATGTATCTAAACACAACCCACACCTCATTCTCTTCATCGTGTTATGATGCCAAAAAAGCCCGGGGCTGTTGCTGGGTGTGTCTTCAGAAAAAAGCCAATAGTTTGGATTTTTCACTGGAATTGAAACCTCTTAGATAAATTCACATTTCTAGGCTGTGAAGTGGCGCTTTAAAGAAGTGAACCTTGATGAACCTCACTGATATTCCGTGGGAGGAAGCGCCTCAGGACATCAGGGTGGAGTGATGTGGGAAAACTCTCCCTTTTCCTTGTTTAATTGTTTTAGAATGGTAGAGGGACCAATGCTGGGTAAACAGCTGTATTTAAAAACAACGGGATTCAAATAAAAAAAACCTTTCACTGAAACTGTAAGAGATGCTGAAGTCGTTGCGTGTGATTAAAAGCAGCAGTGTTTTTTCACAGGAGCAACATGAATCATGGGAGTTCAAGAATCAAGTTTCATTTTCAGGTGACTTGAAAAATGGTTATATTCAGATGTAATGCATTTCAAGAGGAATTTTCTTTTCTTTTTTTTTATTATTAAAAAAAAAAGTTTATTTACCTTTACATGGTTTGCACGACACAACTCCCAAGAATCCCAGCAGGCTGATCTCATTCATGGGTAGGCTGGAGTTGGACCACGCTGTGTCCAGACGGTCCCCGCCACAGCACTCCTCTCTGGACACCCCTCTCATCAGCACCATGTCACACCTTTGACCGGTCTGCAGCCAGCATATCCCGGCTGAAATTGTCAAATACATTCACAGTCAAAAAGCACGAACATGCACTGGTGAATTCTATCAGATAATGCAATTATCTGAGAGGGCAGTTTGTTGTTCTGGAAAGGTAAAAATGAAAAATTGCCTTACATAAAGACACAGATCAAAGTAAATATTGAAAGCAAAAATTATAAACTAAGTGCTAAACTTTTTTTCAAAGTGAGAAAAGTCCACTCACCACTGGCTGGATAACTCCCAATCTGACACATAGTGATAAAAAAACAGAAAGTAGAGACCCAAAAGCTCATGGTTCACTCTGGTTGGTACAAAAAAACCCTTTCCAAATCTGAGGAGAAGACAGTGGTGTTCTTCTGATGAACTCAGTGGATCTCTGCGGCTCGGCTCTTTAAGTAGCTCTCCCTTACGTGAATGAATGTGTTGTGGGTAAGAGATGTGGTTCCTCCTCAGTATAAATATTTAGCCCAGATGGAATTATGCTGCGGGGATGGGCGATCCTCTCAGCCAGTCATAAGCCAGGGCAGGACACAGTTTCAGTCTGACTCAATTTTCACAGTCGGGAAATGATCCATGCCCTCCAGCAGCAGACGCTGGGCACTTACATGACCTCAGAAAACATTTTCACACATAATAGACTCATTAAAGGCTGATTAAAACCTGGAAAAGAAGTTTGCAGCTACTGAAGATGTTTTTCATTAAAAAACTTTTCCATAGATCACGTGTGTTTTGTTCCATGGTGAAGACTATTTGAAACACTTTTTACTGCTTAGATGATAAGGTTCATATTCAACTTTGAACTTTTAGCACCGAGTGCTGGTGGATTCTCTCTGCCTTTTTCTGTATCAGATGACACACACTGTACTGAGAGTGAAGACGCATTTTACTAACAGCAGTTTTGTCATGTGTAAAACGTGGGTTCAGCGTACATCCTGCAGGTGGGATGCTGAAGACAGAACAATGTCTAATTGTGTATTTTACGACTGTTTTCTGTCTTTAAAATGTTGCCCACTAATGAGTGAAGACAAAGAGAACAATGTTTTGTATTTATTTTGTTTTATAACCAACGTTTATATAAGGTTGCTGTTCCACATATCCACAAATACAACCAATGTTGTCAGACATTTTTTTTGTTGTTGACTGTCTGGTTTTACCACCAAACACTGACTGATTTCACTGTGTGGTCATAATAATATGCTGTAGGTAAACTATGGAGGAGGAGGAGGAGGATGGAGGGAAACGTTGTCTTGAGCAATAGACGGTGTCAACGGAGGAACGCACACTCTGACGTGCTGCCTCGGTCTTTGTCAAACAAAGACACCGCAGCGAGCGAGACAGGAAACAGCCACGTTCTGTGGATATATATACAGGATTTCTCAAGTGCAGCGACAGATGTGTTTGTTTTGCTCCGACTGTACGCTGATCTGTGCTATCATCTATTCTGATCTAAATATGTGCACTGCTCTCCTCTTTTCCTGCACTCATTCACCCCCAACACGCAGATATGCAGTCATGCTGAAGCAATGTGAGCCTGTCCATCTGCCTGTCACAGGTTTTGTTTTGTTTTTTTTTCTTTTTTAATGTTTCCTTTTGATCGTTGGGGAAAGGAGAGAACATATGCTGTAGTATCTGAGTCTTTGTGAATGATGTGAAGTTCCTCAAGCAGAGATCCCCGGGGGAACTGAAGGAATGTTGCGTGACGTGGGAGGGGAGAGGAGACGAGAAGGAGAGCAGTGAGCGATGGCTGTGGGTGGCCTGCCTTCTCACTCATTCTCTGCAGATCCATTCAGCCTCTCATATGGTTCGCATCACTGCTGCCGAGCCATACAAATGAATACAGGATGGTGGGGATCTCTGCGGTGGCTACCAATGCATGATCTTCATGAGGTTGTACCTCTCTGAGGCCTGTCTTGGTGAAATATTTGGTTTCTTTTAAGTACATGGGGCCGCAGAGGTAGGGCATGAAATTGAAGGCCACGGTGAGGTGACCTGGGAATTTCTCAGAGACTGAGGGCAGGTGTGGACCTCTGCCTGTCTGTCTGAGTCCTGCATGTGGCTGTAGAGTGATTTTTAAAAAAAGGACAACAGCACTGCTGTCATCTAGTGGAGAAAAGTTGAATGTGTACCGTAGGTGGCTGCTTCATCCTCCAGGATGTGGCGCTGGAATTCTTCTGGAAACAGGCAGTGTGACCCAGGGGGATGCTGGGCTTTTTCCACTCTCTCTCTCTCTCTCTCTCTGTTATTGATTGATCTTTCATGGCGTCCATGGAAGAAGACGTTAACTCGGCTGCTGAAGTTGATGTCTTTGTCATTCTGCCCTGGCGAAGACTCACTCGAGATCTTGCAGTGTCGCAGCAGGGAATGACATCAAAAATATATATAAAACAATGTGATTAAAACAACCTGATGGGAGGGGAATTCTGGCTCCTTTTGGTGGTGGTCCATGACTCTGTTTTTTTGCCTGTTCAGTAGAACTCCACCTGGAAGTCAAAGGGGAGCTAATGATAGGGAGCAAAGAAGCACAAAGCACAGACGACAGGAGGCAGCTAACAGGACACAGGTGAGGCAGGTTAGGTAATCACTGAGTGGACAGGTGCACAGAGGGAGTGGAGTATGCAGAGAGTGACACCTAGGATGATCCATCCATCCATCCATCCATTTACATCCGTTTATCTGTTACCGGGTCGTGGGGGCAGCAGTCGCCACCCAAATCACACTGCACCGTACCAACCCCCCTGAACCTTCCTGTGGGTGGTGAGTCCACTGGAAGGTACCAACCGCCCTAACCGGGATTCTAACTTGCCCAGGAGGTGAACCCTGGGGTTCCACACCAATGACAGAGACATTGACTCTGGGCCAAAGTGCCACTCACCTCGGATGAGTGAAGACTAAAAATAACAGATGAACTGATTAAGCAGAAGAGTGGACTTAGCTACAGGAGGTAGAAGTACTGAAGACATGAGTGTTTTTACTCAGTAAATAAAAATCCAAATGTCATGTTGACATGAATGTTAAACCAGATGTTGGTAACATTTAGGGAGTCACTGACACCAACACTGACACAGTCACTTTTTGTGAGACTTATTTAACCAACATTGAGTGCATTCATTAGTTTATGTAACAAAAGTACTACAGAGTGTAAACAAAGTGGAGACAGGGGGCAGTGTTGTCAATAAAATGTCCTGTTTGTGTAAAAGCTCCACTCACTTTCTGTTCAGCGAATCTGTAGTTGGTATAGCAGAGTACAAACATGAAAAACAAACAGGTACTCGGTGTCGGATGACTGCAGTAGGTATGACAATTACATTCATTAGAAAATCTAGCATAATGTTCTGGTGGAATCGTTGATGCTGGGTGGATAAAGCACGGCGTAGTGAACTCCAGTGAAGTTCTAGATCTCTTCACTATTAAACAGACATGTTGGAAGAAAAATATTTCAAAACTGACTTCTTTTTTAAACGTGACGTAGCCAGTTTGTGGACTCTGACAACAGTTGCGTGGGGAGCTTCAGCGCTGCAGGGACAGATTTACAATGGACTCACTGACACGCTTTCATCTCTGCAGCCACTGACCTTTTTTGGCTCGATTTACTTCAAGATACTTGAACACTTTATACGAGGGAATGAAAAAAGAAAATGGAAAGTCATTCAGCCCTTATTCCCCCTCTGTACCGTCGCACTCCATCTGTGATTCACCACCCTTCATATCAGGTCAGATGAGGGTGTAGTGGTTTGCCCTTCTTTTCTAACAGCAGGTAGATCAGTGGTCAGGGTGTTAACTGGTGTTCTTTCTCTATGGACTCTGCATTATTTATAATTCTGTAATGAAGAGAGATGCTCAGTCTCTAAATTCAAAATGTAATTTGTCAACACTTTGGTCTGGGTGATGGAGAGGGGGGCAGCTGGGGGATGAAAATATCCTCTTCTCAAACAGAAAAGGTTTGAGAACCGTCTACTTCGTAGCAAATGATCTGTAGATGCAATAACGAAATATACCAGAGGAGGGCATAACAGACCCATATTTCAATTCCATGCACTGCCTGTTTCTACTCTGAAGTAAGCCACCATTTCCACCAGTCCATAAAACTCCTGTTACTTTAACGTGTGTGTGTTACGTCCTAGGTGCATGTGTCATCCCATTTGTATTGCAGGGTACAAAGCCCAGGGACTGACTGTGCTGTGAAGTTGCACCCCTGGCTAAAAATACAAAGTACGTCTCCTGATCATGAAAGGAGGTCACTTTTATTTTTGCTCCTAACAAATCTCAAATCAATTGACAAGAGACTGCGACCCCGGCCTCCTTCCACCTGTACTTCTCATTCTGAAGCCACCGTGGGCTTTCGTACGTCACCAGCTGAACAGGGCTCAGTGCTGGTAATTTTCCCGGTCCACTCCGGACTAGTCATCATCACTGCACTCAATTTACTGCTAATGTGTGGTACTGATTGAAGAGGCAACGAGGGCAGTAAAAGAGACGAGGCCATACTGTATAGAACTGCCCTCCATCTCTATGGACACAACTTTCCTCCTCCTCCTCCTCCTCCTCCTTCGCCTCCTCCTCTTCTTGCTAAAGTCCCTCTCGTTGTTCATTAATGGAGAAGGCTAATGTTGGAACACGCACCGCACGCTCCCCAACTACCTTCTGTAACATTTCTTGCTCACTTCCCCTCTCTTACTTCCTCTCTACCACACATCACTCCCCACTCTGTTGCCCCCCGTCACCTATTCCACACTAAACGCTTTTTTTTCTTAAGTCTCTTTGCATCAGAGCTAATCACTGAGGCGGTCGTGACTCCACTCTCCCTGTGGGTATGAGGAGTGTCAGTCGTTCAGCTGTGTCTCTGCTGCTCCGGTTGTTTCTGGTTCTTCCTAATGAAAGAATCACAGTGTTCTTTTACGTGCATGTGACGGTCAGAAGCTTGTGGAATATTCTGAATTTGTTTGTTTTTTTAGGAACTTCAATAACAAACACAACTCTCTCCCTTTATACTCTGATGTCCTTCTAATGAAATGGACATCGGTTTGTCAGCACGGCACACTAAGATCTACCATATTTTTGTATTCCTCACCAGCCTTTATACAAAGATTATACTATCTCCCACAATGGGGACATTTACACTTTGAGTCTTTGCAACCCACACAGGCTGCCACAGGAGGCGCCATTGGTTTTGTATTATTTGTATTATAGAACTCTTAGGGTAAAAAGTAGCAAGGCTGTTGATCCAGATGACATACCATTGAAATGTCTAGGTGACAGTAGTGAGGCAATGTCGAGGTGTGCTGTCAGAATGACAGATGGGTTCAGGGCACAGATGAAATTACATCAGTAATCAGCTTTGAGCCCCTCCTTAATGCAATGGTGACAGTCAGGTTGAATTATGGGGTCAGACAGTAGGGCCTGAGGAACATGATGTTTGCAGATGATATTGTAGTTTGTTAAGAGTAGGGACCAGGGTAAAAAAATGAAATGTCTGGTGACAATGGAAGTAACTGTAAAGAAATGAGGGGAAAATGAAAAGAAAATAAACCTATTGTCAGCCACCAACCCGCCAAAATATAGTCGGTTGATATCGAAATCGGAAATTAAGTGTTGGGACAATATAGGCATATCGAATATGGGCAAAAAGTTAATAC